CCAGCACTGCAGAGGCTGCAGACAGCTTCATGGAGCTGCGCTCAACCGCCTGCGCCACCAGGGAAGGTCCAAATAAATAAATCTTTTAAAAAAAGGACAGAGACTTGGTCGGATTCTCCCCCCAGTCTTCCGAAGGAACCAGCCCTGCTGACACCTTGATCTCAGACTCCCAGACTCCGGAAACAAGAGGCAACAAATTTCTGTTGCTTAAGCACACGGTTTGTGGTACTTTGTTACCATCGCCCCAGTAAACTAGAAAATCTCTGGCATTTTTTTTTTTCCTTTTTAACTGATCCAGAGTCTTTAAATTGATACACTCAAAATTGTAGGTATGTCTTATCTAGAATTTGACAAAGCCTGCCAGTTTCCTCCATTCCTAGTCTCTTCTTCTTAAGCAAAATTACCTCTGAATTTTCACTGGACAGATGACTGCTCGAAGTACAGAGGATTTCACAGCAGCTGGGTATGGTCTTTTGACAAATCTCTAGCTATTGGGCTAGAAGCAGACATAGCGTGCCATCCTGGGAGTGTCCCCAAAGGTAATGATGTTCTCTTCTCTCTTTTGCTCCTTCCCACCGGTAGAACACAGACATGATGGCTGGAGGCAGAACAGGCCTAAAATTATTTGTGTATATATTTGTGTATATTAAGTGCTATGTCCCAGGCAGCATTCCAAGTAATTTACATGTATTATTTTTAGTTAATCTTCACAACTCTATTGGTAAGTATTCAAATCTCTCTTCTACAGGGAAGATACACAGGTTCAGTTCACCATTGAAAGTCTGGTTCAGGGCCTCCCTGGTGGCGCAAGGGGTTAGGCACCGCACTATGAAGCAATCCACAGCCTCTGCAGCACGAATTCAATCCCTGGCCAGCCAGGGAGAAACCCACATGGCGAGGCAGAACTTTCCTGTCCCGCCCGCTGCTCCCCTCAGCAGTGTGTTTCAGTCAGTCTGCCTGTTCTGTTTCGCACTCTTGTCTCTGGTGAATCCTCTCACCCTCCCACATCTCTGGCCTGTACCCCAGCTCTTGTATGCATAAATAAATCTTAAAAATATAGTCTGGTTCAAGGTTACACTCAACTCTAGCTTCTGAGCCCATACTTTCAATCACTTCACCACCCATTACTGTACATTAGGACCCCTGGGAAAACACAATGCTTGAGTCTCACCCCAGGAATTCTGCCGCCACTGTGATTCCACCCATGTGATACAGGTGTGACAAAACCGCAGGAGCCCTCGTGTGGGGGGACGAGTTACCATGCACTAGTTACATTCACAAGAGGACACTAGTCTTGTGCCAACCATATTGTGAGCGTCTGTCCCTCAAGACTGAACATAATCCTAACTCATCATTTAACATATGGTAAGTTGCATTACCCATAACACCCAAATATCACTATTTCAAAATATTCATTACCTTTTTAGGTATGGTTGGGCTCTTTAAAAGTAGACAACAAAGTTAAGTAGTTTATGTTATCTGTTTGAAAAAATTTTTACCGCCTTTGTAGACCAGAAACCACCATGGGATTATTATTATTATTTTTTTTTTTATAAAGGCATGTTTTTTTTATTTATTTGTTTGTTTGTTTGTTTGTTTTGTTTATACATGCACTGGGTACAGTCAGAAGCGCGGGAGGGTGAGAGAATTCACCAGAGCCAGAGCGGGAGCAGAGCAGGCAGAAGGACCGAAGTACACTGCTGAGGGGAGCAGCGGGCGGCAGGAGAGGTCTGCGCGCCATGTGGGACCCTCCTCCGGTGGCCGGGGAGCAGCCGGGGATCGAACCGGCGCTGCAGAGGCCGCAGGCAGCTTCGCAACCCATGGGATTATTAAAGAAACTGTGGCTGTAGGAGCCCTGGGGATTCTTTTGGAATGCCTCTCCAAGTGACCACTTTGTAGGAAGGAGCATATTTTACATTAAGATCACTTCCGCAGGCTGTAGTTTAATTTTTCAGATACTTTCAATTTTATTAGAAATCAGAGTTCTCAGCTTTCACCTAAGGGCATTTTCATTTTGAAAATAATTTCCAGATTCCTGTTCTATCATGCTGGGTACAGAAACTGGTTACCTTATAATTAAACATTTTTAAAGTGTCACCTCAAAGATGTCGCCAAGAGTACTGCCCCACCCCTTTATATTGACTCAAAGGGCAGTGGTGTACATCCTAAAGTTTTCAGGAATGTTACTTATGCATCCAGCCACTCATAACCATCCAACAATTGGTAACTGAATGACGGAACTAGGAGGTTGGGAAAGTTTAAACTACATTTTTTTTTAAAGATTTATTTATTTATGCATACAAGAGCTGGGGTACAGGCCAGAGGTGTGGGGGGGGGTGAGAGGATTCACCAGAGACAGAGTGGGGAACAGAACAGGAAACAGACTGAGATACACTGCTAAGGGGAGCAGTGGGCGACACAGGAGAGGTCTGCTGTGTCACGTGGGTTGCTCCCTGGCCGGCTGGGGATCGAACTCCGGGTTCGAACTCGCACTGCAGAGGCCGCAGATAGCTTCACAGTGCTGTGCTTAAGCCCTTGCGCCACCAGGAAGGCCAGTTTAAGCCACATTAAACACAGATGGATAAAAAATAAAGCCTGTGATCCAAGTTCCAAAGTCAACAAAGCTAAGTCTGAAGGCATACTGCTGGAGTCATCCTGGGAGAGGTCAAAGCTAGGTGTGCATCTGTTCTGTCACTTCCTGTGGGACCTTGAGCAAGAAAATTACTCAAGATCTGATGTCATTTCTTCACCCATGAAACAGGGGTTGTGGCAGGACTAGATAAGACTGCACGAAAGCATGAAGCAGTGTCCAGCACAGCCAGTGCTCAGTAACGACAGCAATTAGTTGATCCTGAGCCAACATAAGCCAACAGTGACAAAACTGGTGACAATATGGACACCTTAACTTGTACTAGTAGTATGCAGATCAAGGAAGATTGCTGCCTGTTTTTTCATCCTTTGGACTACATTAACAGTGACCACTTTCACCGGGCAGTACTGAAGTTACTGGCCTTGGGTGGCATCCAGGCATGGGAATTTTTAAAGTTCCCAGGTGCAGCTTCTTTCGTAATGTAGACATGATGAGGGGGTATGCTTGGTCTCAATATAAAGAACTTCTAGAAAGCCAAAGCTGCCCCACTGTGGCGATGCTGCTCTAAAACTCAGTAAGGGCAGCTACTTTTGACTTAGCTACTTAGTTATTGACTAGGGAAATAAATATAGCACGATACTTATCTGATCTTTGCCTTGTTGGCCAGAGGGGAACTCTAAGTCATTTAGGAGGGTGATTGGGGATATGTATGTATGAACTGAAATTCAATATGACATTATGTGCTGCTAATGGCATTATGACCACACAGAACATTACTAAAAAGCACACTCAAGTGTGTCATATTGTCGTATTTGCATCTACTTTAAATAGCCGTGAAAAGTGTCAGTCCACTTAGGCTGCCATTACAAAATACCATGGACTGAGTGGTTTAAATAACAGTTCTGAAGGCTATTAAGGCCAAGATCAAGGTGTCAGCAGATACTGTCTTGGAGAGAGCTCTCCCTGGCCTCAGACAGTTGCCTCCTGCGTCACCACAGTGAAGAGGAGCAAGCCGCTAGTCTCTCAATCCCATCCTGGGGTCCCACCCTCACCTCATTTAAGCCTAATCTACCAACAGCCTTGTCTCCAAATACCCTAACATTGGGGTTCAGCATATGCGTTTTAGGTCTGTCCATAGCAAAGCGTGTACAGAAAAAATGATAAAGTACTTGCTATAGCAAGATGTTAACCAGCAAAGGTAGGGAAAGGGTACAAGGCCGTATTATTTTTTCTTTCAACTTTTCAACATACATGAAAATTTTCAAAATAAATTTGAAAGATTTCTTTTCACATATGAAACTATTGGTGACATGGAAGTTGAGAAAAGTTGAGGGCCACATGAACAGTCTTCTAGAATGTGAAACATGAGCCCATGGAAGCCTTTTCCCTGTGCTGCTCCAAGGACAGAGCTCTGACCCCCTGGTAGACAGTGAGTCAGAGAAAGCACACTTGGTCTCAATATATAGAGCGTCCTGAAAGCCAGAGCTGAACCACAAGGCAATGTTGCTACTCAGTGAGAGGTGTTCACGCAGAGTCTGTAGAACATGAGAAATTCGATGCAGGGGCCTCCAGCAGGGCAGAAGCTGGAACTTCCAAATTTAAGATTACACAGACGGGTGTCCTCACAAGCATACCACCTCTGGTAAAAAGTCTGTAAGTAGGGCCTCCCCTGGTGGCGCAGTGGTTGAGCGCTGGGCTGCAAAGCTGCCTGCGGCCTCTGCAGTGCCAGTTCGGTCCCCAGCCATTGGAGAGGGTCCCATATGGCGTGACAGGCCTCTCCTGCTACGCCCGCTGCTCCCCTTAGCAGTGTATTTCGTCGGTCTGCCTGTTCTGTTTCCCACTCTGGCTCTGGTGAATTCTCGCACCCTCCCGCGCTTCTGACTGTACCCAGTGCTTGTATGAATAAATAAGTAAATCTTTAAAAAAAAAAAAAAAAAAGCCTGTAAGTAGAGATCTTTCTAGTGATTATTGTAACACTACCTGAAGGAAAAATTGTAATTGGGTGTGCTTTTGCGTTCACCTAGTGTTCCTCACAGGCAAAAATCTGACATAAACTCAGGTTATGCTCAGTGTGTTCTCATCTCACTTCCCTTGAAACAAATCTACATTCTAGAACTGCCTGTGTGACCCTCTTAACCCACTGTGCTAAGTGGCTCTGAGCTTAGGAATTTTACCCTCTCTTCAATCAGAGTACCAAATTGCTCCCCCCCAGATCTAGACCTGGTGCTTCCTTGAGTCCCCTTCCTTCTCCCCAGTTACTATCAGCTAAGCTCTAACTTTGTTTCCTTTACACTGATCCTTCTTTAAAGGCAAAGGATATGGATTAGTAGATAAGACAAGAAAGTGGAAATAGGCGGTTTATTTTCAGTTGCCAAATTTATCACCTGGAAAGGGGTCAGGGTCTAAAGAAGTGGTAAACCACTATCAATAAAGAACGAGTCCTGCTACTTCCATGTGCCACCTTTATTAGGAGAAACACTCTTTCTTCAACTTTATAATAATAAGGAAGAAACGATAACCCTAATAAGCTCTTGCTTCCCACTAGTCTGTCAAGACACAAACACTTTTGTACCAATCTTTATGTATTTATTCACACATTTGATAGAAATGTCACAGTTAGGAGTGAAATCATTACAATGACATAAGCAACTATACAGACTGACCCCAAGTGCAGTCAAATTGCCAAAAATCAAAACATGAACAACACACAGTTCCTTAATATCTACACACTCACACTCACTCACTCACACCCTTCCATGCACCAACAAGTTCAGACATAACCCAGGGATTCTTTCCTGCCTTCTGTCAGGTCCTGGGGATGAGAAGAGAGAAATAATCAATGAAAAGAAGCTGGAACAGCTTGATGCATCTTTCTGCTCTGCCAACCATTCAAAGGAAAGACATGAAACACTGGGGCAGTTATTTCCTTGGCACAAAACTTAACAGGCAGCAAAAAGGCCAAGTTTAAATTAGTCTCAGATTTAGATCCCTTTTCAACAACTCAAAAGGGATTCTAGCAGAGAAAAAGGGAAAAATCTGGTCATTTAAACTCTAAGAAAAAAGGAGAGAGGAGGATTTAAAATTTGATCCCTGTTCCCCTGACAGATTGTAGCATGACCATAAGCCAAACCAGCAAGGCCAAACTGATACCATCTGACTGTGACTTCAATCAGTAAGTAGGCTTTTACACTAGCTTTGAAGAAACGCAGGGAAAAAATTCAAATGAATAAGATATAAACCACAACCCCATTATGTTAGTATTTGGGGTAAGAGTACATCTATTCATTCACACAGCTTTTCTACAGCTCTGAGAGCTCCACAGGAGTGGCCCAACCCCCATTCCTCTGCCTTCCAAGATGGACAAGACCTCAGCTTCCAGTCAAACCTGAAGTGTGAAAAATAATGCCTGAACCAAAATAGTGTTTCCTATACAGTGTGACTATGGAAAAATCTCACTCAACTCCCCAATTCCTACTTTTTGAAACAGAGATTAAAAAAAGAAAAAACTGAACTAAATTTAAGTGTGGTATTTTGAGTATCTCCACCGACTCTATGAACACACTGAAGATACAGAAAATTACAGTTTAAAAAGACTCATTTCCCAGTGCTCTTGGTAAATGCACTAAGGTTTAGATGGAGACAATGATCCAAATGAAAACAGTGCAGAGACATAGAAAATGGCCAATTCAAAGGAAACTGCTAGGGCAGGGTGAGTCAAAGGGGTGGCAGTGAGAGGTTGAAAGAGAAACTTCTTGGTACATTCTTTATGCCCCTAAAGAGAGAAACAAAGTGAAGACAAGGCACTTGTACTGCCAAGCAATAGTTCACATCCATGCAACACTAGAATTGTTACCAAGAGCACTCCCATGATCCCTCACTGAAAGACTCAATGAGCCAACTGCACTTTCCAGTTGGACCTTCAGAGCTGAGGGACATCCAAGATTGCAGCAGAACCACTGGTAGGAACTGGAATGTTGGCAGAGGAAACTACTCAGAAGAACCAAACAGAAGTCATCCCCGTCGGGCCTGAGGTGAAAGGCTTGTTCCAGATTAGCCCATGAAATACTGAAATTCAGAATGCTTGGCCTAAGAATATCACAAAGTCCCCAAGGACACCTCCTTCTCTCTGTTTTGATAAAGAGCAATTAAGGGCTCTGAATGACATTGGACACCAGTTAGTGAATCATCTTGCACTGGTAGTTACAGCAGACGCCTTCTAATACATGTCCCCATTCTGTAGCAGAGTGATAAGGGATCAAGACAGGACTACAAGAAGCCTGTCTCTTCTCATCCCAAAGCCCTTCAAGCATACTCGATGCGGGCAGGGCCACAACTACCCTCATTCTTCCGCTCAGAAGATGGAGAGGTGGTCTTGGCTTCACTGCCCATATCTAGAGGTTTAGCTGAAATATAGTCCTTTACTTTGATCTCCATGTTCTTGGCTTTCAGAGTGGCCATGTGCAGCTTCTCCAGGAAATCCGGCATACCTGTCAGAAGAAAGAAAAATTGGGGTAGGTATACACAAACAGCAAGCACAAAGTCAGAAGGCCCAATTTCTTTGAGGATAGAGAATAATTCTTCGCAGTAGAGTTAACACCTTGATTGACAACTTGGAAGTGACAGCTGCCTCCTAAAAGTAAAAATAACTCATGGCCTCCAATCCTTTGAAAAAGGGTAGCGTACTGATCAGGCCATGTTAAGCCCCAAAAGACTCTCCTTCGGGTGATTAAAATATCACATATCAATGGCACAGCATAAATACCTGCCAATTTTACTTAGGCAAATGTCGAACAGGAAAACCTAATCTCTCCATCCTCCCCCGAGGTATTTGAAGTTATCTATAGAGAACCAGAAAGCAAGAAAATCACATGATGGTTTTCAAAGCAGGGAACTAGGAGAGAAAGGTGCAGTTTCTAGTCATGATGTGCATCTTTTATTAGAACAGGTGGCAGTCCCTTGCTCTAAATAACTGTCTACAAATGTATTTCTACAAGAGCTCTTATAACCGCAAACACCAAGAACAAGAAAAATTCTAACTGCTAATGTATATAAAGTACTTATTTAAGGCCTTAAGCAAACATTCTTTTTAAACCTTCCCTCTGGGAACAAGTTTTCTTTCCAAAACTCTAGAATTCTCATTCCTCCAAATCTCAGCTGGAGGTTTTGATATCTTCATAGTATTCAAGAATGACAACCGAAAGAGTTTTAATTTCCCCAACAGGATTCCAACAAGAGAAATACTAATCTTATTGCTGCTATTAAGAAACTAGAGAAAACAAATGCCCAGCCCAGGTTGCAGTACCTATAATAAAGTGCTCACTTACCACTGGAAACCATCCAGCTAACACAGTATCGAGGAAACACAGTCTGGGGATTGTCACTGTATGTCAACAAATAGTCAAAGCCATTCTGGAAAGGAAAACAGCAATATAAAGGTACTTCAATTACCCACCAAAACCCCTATCTCCAGAACCACACAATAACCATGATCTAATTCTGGGGCACAGAGTACCATTTTTTCACCCTGTACAAAAAAGAGCTAACACTGAAGACTTGATATCCATTAAAAGGTCTGTTTGCAAGGTTGGCCTTCAGCTGGAGTCTGGAACTTGGCTCCCAGAGTGTTCCCTGTCAACAGTTACTGCTAAGGGTGACTCCCTGGGCTTCCTCTATTTGTGCAAACAATGTGGTTTGTGCTGAACACCTGGCTTTCACGCCAGGGGTCTGAATGGATGGGCCTATGTGACCAGTCCCAATAGAACTATAGGGTACCAAGTCTCAATATGGGCTTCTCTGGGGAGAAATATCACACACATATTGCTGCATTTTCATTGGTGGGGGAGGAGTGTGCTGCGTGACTCCTCACGGGAGAGAGCACAAGGAAGTCTTTGTGTGGGTTCCTCAGACTCTGCCTATGTTTTCCCTTAAATCTGGGGATGTATCCTTACTATGTCATTGTAATAAATCTTAGCCACGAGTACTATATGCTGAGTCCTGTGAGTCTAGCACATCACTGAATGTGTGAGCAGTCTTGAGGATCCCACACATAACCCCAATGATTATAGTTTATAGTCAGCCTCCTACACTCTCTCTGATCCTAACCCAGACTTCCCTTTCTTATGGCAACCAGCAACTGAATGCAGTCTTTTCTGTTTCCTATCTTTTTCTAAAGCAAGGACTTTCAAACATTTTAAAGTACAACACACTGTAAATAACTTTTTTTTCACTGCAACCCAGCTCTCTCTCTCAGCTTCTCACAGTCATACATATTTATGTAACTAAACAAGTCTCATGAAATATGTTTAGTTCTCTTCTGTTCTATTTTTTTAAGCCGGTCATAATGAACTAAATTAATTTTGTCTTCCATTAATGGGTAGCAATCCAGTTTGAATACTATTCTAAAAATAGTGCAGTAATAAATAGCTCTTCTAGCAAAGAATCAAACACCACACTGACTGAGATGAACCATTGCTTCTTAGTCATAAAGTCTCAGTTTCGTTGGTATAAATAAAACATCTCAATGAAAACAAGAAAATCATACTTAAAAACACAATTCATATAGCCCTGAAGCAAGGAGAAGTGAGAGGGAGAAACAAAGCCATTATAAAGTGAAATTGCACTGAAAACAGCAAGCACTGCTATCAGTGTGTACAACCAACAGAGATTTGGTTAAAACAAAACAAAACAAAAAAAAACACCCCACTAAGTGAAGAAAATACTCTCAAAGAAAGGTCATATAATTTTAAGGAAGACAGAGTGCATTAATCTAACCCTTTCATTTTTTGGACAAGGAAACGGAAGTCCAGAAAGGTTCAAATGTTCTGCCCATTGTGGTAAAATTTTGATGGAAAAGCACTCACTCTAGTTCCTAAAGAATGCTGCTGCTAAGGACAGAGTGACTGAGTTAGTGCTATCTTCTCACAAGTGTCTCTCAGATAAATGGAGTCAATGGTCATTACCATTGTGTTTTGGGAAATCTTCCTGATATATCACTCCAAAAGCAAGTGTTCCCAAAAGGTGACTTCCAGGCTAATTGTATCACCTTTACCTGGGAACTTCCTAAAAATGCAATTCTTGGGCCACATCCCACGCAATATCTTTTTTTTTTTTTTTTTAAAGAGGCATGCATTTTATTTATTTATTTGTTTGTTCATACGTGCACTGGGTACAGTCAGAAGCGCGGGAGGGTGAGAGACATCACCAGAGCCAGAGCAGGGAGCAGAGCAGGCAGAAGGACCAAAGTACACTGCTGAGGGGAGCAGCGGGCGACAGGAGAGGTCTGCGCGCCATGTGGGACCCTCCTCCGGTGGCCGGGGAGCAGCTGGGGATCGAACCGGCACCGCAGAGGCCGCGGGCTGCTTCACAACCCAGCACTCAACCGCTGTGCCACCGGGGAGGCCCAACCCACGCAATATCTTTTAACAAGTTCCAGTGCCTCTGATACATGCCAAGTTTGAGAATCACTGCCCGACAGCAACCCGTCGTACACTCCCCAGTTCAGATAGAAGACATTCCTTGAGAAAATTCCGAAACTACTATAAATCACATTTTGGATGATGTAAAACTCACCTCATCAAATGATTTGTGGGGACGGATAACCATTTGGGATTCATATGATCTGACCCTTACAAATTCCGGAGACTCTGGCACACTAGGGTGCTCCACAGCACTGGTAAAGGGAAAAATTAAGGAAACTTAGTAATGTCTACAAATGGTATAAGAGTTAAAGTTACGAGGAAAATCTAAAATGTTGGTTCTAATTTTAAAAAATACAACAGGAGTCACTAGGATGAATGAATGTGAATTAAGTTCTAAAAACAAAGTGGCTTCTTTGGTGCTTCTTGCCTCACTTTGTGTTGAAGACATCACTTTTTTTTTTTAATAACCAACACTAAAGAACTAAAAAAATGGTCTATTAAAAGTTTATATCCCTTCCATTTTCCTAGATATCACCAGTCACAGCCCACTAATGTTTCAGGTGGGACAGACGAGGACCTGCTGCAGGGAACTCTGTGGGGGACTCATAAGGGCACTAAGAATACATTAGCGCCCCCCCACAAAATATATATGAATGAAGGACATTGCTAAAGGTACAACACCACAGGCAACCAATCACACATACCGTGACACCAACACCATCACATTGTTTTCTTGATCCACACTATACCGCCGAACATAAACATAATCCCGTGAGTACATTGGATACTAAAGAAATGGAGGAGCAAGATTAGTGATACATCTCACATGGACATGGTAAAAGTATCAAACAGAAGTAAAAATACTTACAGGAAAATGGGTTACCCAGTGAAGAACCTCAGAACCACTAACCACATCCCTCTCAATTACTTCCAGCTTGATTACCAGGGCATCCCACTTTTTTCTATACTCTGTATCCAGCTGTGGGAAAAAACAACATCATGAATACTCCAAATGCTCAGGCTGCCTCTGACCCAAGGACCTTATTTTGAAACAGTGATCTAACCTAAGAGAAAGAGTCAAAAGTATAAAAGACTTGCCAGTGCACATACAGAGAAGCCTTTCAAAATCCCTTCTCATAGGGCAATACCCTTACAATGAAAGTGAATCTTAATGATAAAAAGCCTAAGGAAAAAAATATTGTAATGTAAAATGTGTCTGGGAAAAAAATGACATACATGTGTTAAGGGCGAAATAATTCCAAAATGTTTTAACCAGACAAGAAGCCAAAAGAAGCCAAAAATGTAAACATATACCTCACACAAAGAAATGCAAGTAGCAGGCGAAAGATGGTGGATAAACAGGTAAAAAGTATGGTGAAGGAAATGTATGGTGAAAGAAAGAAGTGGACTTTAGCGGGGGAGTTAACGTAGTAGACACAGATGATGATGCATGATGGTGCACACCTGAAACCTGTATGTTATAATACTATGCCACTACAATTAAAAATTATGAAAAATGCAAGTAGCATTATTTTAATTTCTAACATCACTAATAACTAATGAATTTCAAAATAAGAAATATACATTCAAACCAACAAAAATTCAGCACCACTTGAGTATTATCAGTGGGTGTTATAATCTTCAAACTAGTTCATGAATGACCAGCAAAACAAATGAAAACATAAATGTTTTTGTAGAATCCGACCTCCCATTTTCATACATCCCCAAGCCCCAACGAAAAAAGCAGTCTTTGGACTGATCCTCTTCACCTCTTCACCTTTACTCCCTAAATACCTTCACTGTGGAAATGTTTCAGATTACTAAATCCTGCCTGGATCTCCCACCCCCAAAGATTTATTTATTTATTTATACAACAACCAGGGTACAGACCAGATGTGTGGGAGGGTGAGAGGATTCACCAGAGACACAGCGGGGAACAGAACAGGCAGACTGATGAAATGCACTGCTGATAGGAGCAGCGGGAGCTGCAGGAGAGGTCTGCGCACCATGTAGGACCCTAACCGGCAGCTGGAGATCGAACGGGCACTGCAGAGGCTGTGGGCAGCTTCGCAACCCAGCACTCAACCGCTGTGCCACCTGCGAGCCTCCCTGCCTGGATCTTTACTGAAGGGGAGAACGCTATAAAGGGCAACACTAAATCAACAGAGTATACTGAAATACAAACAGAAGATTATGTGAGTATTGCATCACTGTTAAGTTTACTGACTTTGATAACAGTGCCATGGTTAGTTAAGAGAATGTGTCTGAGGGCCTCCCTGGTGGCGCAGCGGTTGAGCGCTGGGTTGCGAAGCTGCCCGCAGCCTCTTCAGTGCTGGTTCGATCCCCGGCTGCTCCCCGGCCACCAGAGGAGGGTCCCACATGGCGCGCAGACCTCTCCTGCCGCCCGCTGCTCCCCTCAGCAGTGTACTTTGGTCCTTCTGCCTGCTCTGCTCCCCGCTCTGGCTCTGGTGAATTCTCTCACCCTCCCGCGCTTCTGACTGTACCCAGTGCATGTATAAACAAACAAACAAACAAACAAATAAATAAAACATGCCTCTATTAAAAAAAAAAAATTAAAAAAAAAAAGAGAATGTGTCTGAAAAAAAATATTTGGAAATAAACCTAACAAGAGGTGAAGGACCTATACAAAGAAAATTATAAAACACTATTAAAAGAAATAGAAGACACAAAGAAATGTAAAGACATCCCCTGCTCATGGATTAGAAGAATTAACATTAAAATGGCCATCTTGGGCCTTCCGGGTGGTGAGCGCTGGGTTGCGAAGCTGCCTGCAGCCCCTGCAGCACAGGTTCAATCCCCCGGCTGCTCCCCGGGCACTGGAGGAGGGTCCCACATGGCGCGCAGACCTCTCCTGCCTCCTGCTGCTCCCCTCAGCAGTGTACTTCGGTCCTTCTGCCTGCTCTGCTCCCCGCTCTGGTGAATTCTCTCGCCCCCCCCCCCCAGCACTTCTGACTGTACCCAGTGCTTGTATAAATAAATAAATTTTTAAATAAATAAATAAATAAAATGGCCATCTTAACAAAGCAATTTACAAGTTCAACGCTATTCCAATAAAAATCTCAATGACATTCTTCAAAGAAATAGAACAAATGCTGATGAAATTCATATAGAACCACAAAAAACCACGAATAGCCAAAGCCCTGCTAATGAAAACAAAGGAGAATGGAGGTATCACACTTTCAAACTTCAAACTATACTACAAAGCCATAATAATTAAAACTGTGGTACTGGTATAAAAACACACACACAGACCAATGGAATCAAATAGAAAGCTCAGAAATAAAGCCACATATATAAATGGACAACTAATCTTTGACAAAGGAGCAACTAATCTTTGTTAAAGGACAACTAATCTTTGACAAAGGAGCAATGGAACAAGGACAGTTTGTTCAATAAATGGTGTTGGGAAAACTGGACCACCACATGCAAAAGAATGAAACTAGACCACTACCTCTCACCATGCACAAAAATCAACTCAAAATGGATAAAAGATCTGGACATAAGACCTGAAACCATAAAATATATAGAAGAAAATATAGAAAATATAAGACATACATCTTAGTAACATCTTTAAAGACTCATCACCCAAAGGAAAGAAAGTGAAGGAAAAGATAAACACCTGGGGTTACATCAAACTGAAAAGCTTCTGTACAGCAAGAGACATTAACCAAAACAAAGAGACATCCCACTGATTGGGAAAAAATCTGTGCACTCTATACAACTGATAAGGGACTGATCACAAAGATCTCTACAAAAATGAAGTAAACAATCCAGTCAAGAAATGGGCAGAACTTGAAAGACACTTCTCTAAAGAGGAAATGCAAATGGCCAACAGGCATATGAAAAAATGTTCAACATACCTTATAATCAAGGAAATGCAAATCAAAACCACAATGAGATACCACCTTACACCAGTTAAGAATGGAACATACATTAAAAAAAAAAAAAAAACCAGCAACAACAAATGCTGGTGAGGATGTATTATAAAGGAACTCTCCTACATTGCTGGTGGGTGTGCAAACTGGTCCAGTCACTATGGAAAGCTGTCTGGAGGTTCCTCAGTCTACTAAAAATGGAGCTACCATATGACCTGGCAATTCCACTCCTAGGGACCTACCCAAAGGACACAAAAACATTGATTCAAAAGAATACCTGTACCCCTATGTTTATTACAACACTATTTACAACAGGTAAAACCTGGAAACGACCCAAATGCCCAAAAATAGATGACTGGATCAAGAAGATGTGGTACATATACACCATGAATATTACTCAGCATTCAAAAAAGATAAACACATGCAATTTGTAGCAACATGGATGGTGCTGGAAAGGATCATGCTCAGTGAAATAAGCCAGAAAGAAAAAGAAAAATACCGGATGGTCTCACTCATAGCAGGAATCTAGAAAACTTAAATAAGGGACCAGGAAAAAGAATAACTATAAGAAAATATCAAAATCAACAAATAACTGTGAACAAGAGACACTCTATGGGGGGTGGGGGCGAGGAAAGGAGGGATTGGGGTAAAAATAAAGGGGTTGTAATTATATGGGAAATATAAAAATAAAATTTAAATTAAAAAAAAAATAAAGTTCTAAGACATCTCCTCTTAAAAAAAAAAATACATTAAAGTATACAAATCTACTCCTTGATCTGATCTACCCCTGTGAGGGGGTAGAATCAGTCTCATCTCCATCCTCCATTGTAAGTCAAATGTTTGCCAGCTACTGTATGGACTGTGAGACAAGGGGTACAGACAGGGGTCTCTATGGTGGCGCAAGGGGTTAAGTCTCAGCACTGTGGCAGCCACTGAAGCACAACGTAGATCCCCAGCCAGGGAGCGGACCCACATGGCGCAGCAGACCTCTCCGGTTTTGCCCATTGCTCCCCTCAGCAGTGTATTTCAGTCAGTCTGCCTGTTCTGCTCCCCACTGCATCTGGTGAAATCCCGCCATGCTCCACACTTCTGGCCTACACCCCAGCTCTTGCATGCATACATAAATACATCTTTAAAAAAAACAGAGGGTACAACAGATGGATGTATTGAAGTCTATGTCATCTGAATCAAAGAAATTTTTTTTTTTTTAAAGATTTATTTATTTATTTATACATGCACTGGGTACAGTCAGAAGCGTGGGAGGGTGAGAGAATTCACCAGAGCCAGAGCGGGGAGCAGAGCAGGCAGAAGGACCAAAGTACACTGCTGAGGGGAGCAGCGGGCGGCAGGAGAGGTCTGCGCGCCATGTGGGACCCTCCTCCAGTGGCCGGGGAGCAGCCGGGGATCGAACTGGCGCTGCAGAGACTGCAGGCAGCTTCGCAACCCAGTGCTCAACCGCTGCGCCACCAGGGAGGCCCGAATCAAAGAAATTATTCATGTGAACAGCTGAAACTGGGTTCTAGGATTCAAGGTTCCAAATTTGGGAAGAAAAATTTACTCACCTGAACGTTGAAGAACTGCCGGGGTGTCACATCTGTGTAGGTTCCAAAAACTAGAATGACAGGAAAGAAAAATGTTTGCTAAACTTTCAATACCACCTTATTCTCAGTACTAAACTGTATTTCAGTTATAAAGTACTAACGGATCTTAAAGGCAGATTCACGAACTAAAAGTCATATTCAGGCAGCAAAACAAAAACCATGGCAACTTTTCTAAGAAACAAATAGAATGTATCAGTTTAGAGAAATATGAGGAACAGAAGTTCTGCACACCTGGGCAACCGTGTTACACACAAGACAGTCAGGCTGGGCTCACCTCTGTACTGGTAAAGGTGTGTGCCTATAATTGGGCGCCGCCACAGCTTAAAGTGCTTCTTCTCCATCACCATTTCCCAGGGTTGCTCTCTGTCCCCTGAATCTTCATTCCCTTCTGTCTGGGGTTTTGGATCTGGAGAGTGGCGTCTAACTCCAGAGTTCTGAAACATATATGACATTTCTTCCAACCGTTTCATCTCATCAATTGATCTGGAAAGGAGAAAAACAACAAGTATAGTGCACATTGGTTGGGGTCAGGCATAGGAAAGAAAATGTGCACATACAAGACCTGTGTAAGAATGGTGTAGGTTTAAACACTATAAAATATAGGGAATAAAAAACCAAGTTCCTGAGTCTGAATTTCAGTCCGACAGAATATTAAATTACCTAACCAGCCCTATTTCATAATCTACCTCCAAGGCTGACTGTAAAAATCAGATAAATTTATATATAAAGTACTTTGTATTTGGTACATAATCAGCCCTCAGATGCTAACTATTAAGAATGAAGACTGTGAAATGGCATTTGGTATCTTTCACCCATTTTTATTGGGTTGTTTGTCTTCCTACTACATTGTGAGAGTAGGTACATATTTTCCTTCTCTCTTTTAAGTCACATACCATAAGAATCACCCTTTTACAGTATACAATTCAGTATTTTTATTTTTTTAAAGATTTATTTATTTATGCATACAAGAGCTGGGGTACAGGCCAGAAGTGCAGGGGTGAGAGGATTCACCAGAGACAGAGTGGGGAACAGAACAGGCAGGCTGACTTAAATACACTGCTGAGGGGAGCAGCGGGTGAGCCAGGAGAGGTCTGCTGAGCCATGTGGGTAGCTCCTTGGCCGGGTGGAGATTGAACTCATGCTGCAGAGGCTGCGGATTGCTTCATAGGGCGGTGCTTAACCCCTTGCGCCACCAGGGAGGCCCAATTCAGTATTTTTAAATATAGCCACAGGTTGTGCAATCATCACCTATGCTAGATCAGCAGTCACTTCCCATTCCTGCCTCCCCCCAATACCTACTAAGTACTAACCTACTTTTTATCTCTATGGACATGCCACCTGTGGACATCTCATTTAAACAGAATAATGTAAGATACAGTTTATTGCGTCTGGCTTTTCTCACTTAGCATGTTGTCAAGGTCATTCATGCCATACTTTATTCATCTTTACAGTTGAAAAACATCCTGCTGTGTGGATATATACCACATTTCATTTATTCATCAGGTAATGGTCATATCATATCGTATCTTCTTTTGAAATACTTATGAATAATGTGTGGAAGTTTTTGCGTAAACATAGGTTTTTCCATTTTCTTGGGACTTGTTGGGTGGTAGTAACTGTCTAACTTTTTGAGGAAGTGCCAAATTATTTTCCAAAGAAGCTACACCATTTTATATTCACACCAACAATGTACGAGGCTTCCAACTGCTTACATTCTTGTCAACAGTTGTCATTGTCCATCTTTTTAATTCCATCAATCCCATGGGCGTGAAGTACTATTCCACTAAGGTCTTCAGATTTGGACTTCCCTAATGATTAATGGTGTTGGGCATATCTGCACGTGCTTACTGGCTATCTGTGTGTCTACTGAACCCCTTGTCTATTTTTCAACTGAGTTCTCATTTTATCGCTGAGCTGCCAGAGTTCTTCGTGTTCTGGATACCAGTCCCCTATCAGATATATCATTTATAAATATTTTTTCCCATCCTGTGGGTTGTCTGTTCATTTTCTTGATAGTATATTCGATGTATAAAAGTTTTGATGAAGTCCAATTAATCTATTTTTGGAGTCATATCTAAGAAACCACTGCCTAACCCAAGTTCACAAGGACATACACCTATATTTTCTTCCAGGAGATTTAGTTTTAGCTTACATTTAGATCTCTAATCCACTCTGACATTTATCCATTAAATTTTTGTGTATGGCATGAGAAATGTCTAAATTTATTATTCTGCATGTGCAAATCCAGTTATCGCAGCGTCAATTATCTTGGCACCTTGCTGAAACAAATGGCCATGGACACAGCTAGGTTTTGCAGCAAGTCTTGGCTGCTATTTTGATCTGATTTTCATGTCAATACTGAGTGATCCAACTAACATCTTCCTGATTGGTTCCTTTTCAGCTTGAGCTAAGCAGTATCAGTTTCTTTGCATGCACCAAGAACCCAAACCCGTTAATTTATACTGATGCCTGATGAAAAAGGTAACCATTTTTAAAAAGTTTTTGTCTGGAAAGTTACAAAACAAGATTGACTGTTACCAACCCAAAGACTAAAATAGGGAAAAACTTTAGTGTAGACAGTAAGATCTTACAGAGAAGAAAGCAAAAGCAAAACCACAGGAAAGGCTTATTCAGAGTACATTTCAGGCAGCAATTATGGCACTTTTCAGGACAGTAGAGAATATATGAATAAAAATTAAGCACCACTCTTGAATGTCATTTTTATCACATAATGAAGAGGGAAAGATTGTCTTATTAAACATTAGGGGATCATAAAAGAATTTAATAATAATTAGGTTTTAAGAAAATTAAACTATATGATTACCATCATATAACTTTAATGACCTAAGACTTGAGAGGTACAGAGCTTCTGATTCATTGCTTAATTAGACTCTCCTATAATAAAAGATCACTAGGTGGCCTTGATTAAAATTATGAGACTAAGTTCCTAACAGGGGATAGAAATGTCTTGTGAAGGCATGACATTGAATAGCACAGTAGGATTGCTGGAGAAAGACTGACCATAAAAATGTAAATGACTGGGCCTCCCTGGTGGCACAAGGAGTTAAGACACAAGCTATGAAGTTATCCGCAGCCACTGCAACATGAGTTCGATCCCCAGCCAGGGAGCTCCCACATGGCACAGCAGACCTCTCTTGTCTCACCCGCTGCTCCCCTCAGCAGTGTATTTTAGTACATCTGCCTGTTCTGTTCCCCACTCTGAATCCTCTCACACCCCACACATACCCCAATTCTTGTATGCATAAATAAATAAATCTTTAAATAAAAAAATAAATGATTGTTATATACCCAGGTTCAAGAATCTCTGAATCCTCACATGACAGACATTAATTAACACACAGATGCACAACGTCCCTTACTATTGATGGAGGACAGGAGATGCAAGGTCAAGAACCTAACCCACTCAAGGAAGTAGGGGAAGAAGGGATCAGCATAAGCCATAACCCAGTCATAGAAACCAAGACCCTTAGGCATCAACGCCCAAATCAGGAGGCACAATACCCAGAAACTATCAGACTACTCTAAGGAGTGTCAGGAGCACAAACCATCCACCCACAAAGATGAGCCCCTCCATGAAGATGATAAAACCTAACGCTGCCCCCACAACGCGGCAGCAGTCTTTCTGCCCACCTGTGACTATGCAGGTGCTTCCTTTTACCAACTTTCTCCCTCCACAGGGCAGCGGCTTCCTGCCTGCCCGTGACCTGTACTATATATACCGTGACTTCTCTTCAGCAGAGGCAGCTCTCCTCAAGGCCCGCCACCTGCAACCATGCAGGCCTCTCTTAGCTAATCTGTCCCTTTCAGGGCAGTTCTTCCTGCCCGCTTGTGTCTATGCAAGTGTCTTTTAGTCTTCTGTCCCTTTCTCTAATAACCTGCTCTTCAAATATAACTACTGTTTCTGTCTCATGGAGAAACTCCTATGGGAAACTCGCCGTTTGCCACTGAAACGGGAGCTCTGGTGGAAACACTTCCCAGAGTGAACCCAAGGACCCTGCACTCCAAACCCACTGACTCCAAAAAATGACATCACTGTCATACATACAGAGCAAGGAAAAACCTCTCCCCATGCATCTCTTTGGCCTGCTGTAACAAATCTTGTTGGGATGAGATGGGTGTCTATCTATACCTTGTTATCTAAGAGACTTAAACAGCAGTAAGAGAGAAAAGAAGGTCAAAAGAGATTTTCCAAAATAGTAACAGAACCAGCAGATTAGAAAGAGTATCGAGGAAAACCAATCAATACTTCCCTCTCAAAACTAAAGTCACTTCAATTATTTGAGAAAGAATGGAATTAAAGTTACAGGAACTCAAAAACAAAGTATAGCCTGTCTTCAGTACAGAACTTGCTATATGTAAGGCTCCAAAATGATTCAAATAAAGTCACCCCTGTAATTAGTAATTTCAGTAAGACAACTGCCTAGCTCACACAATCCCTCCTCAAATGCCAACTTTTTGTCAAAGATAGAGATTTCAAGTACAATGCTAAGAGACACACCTAGAAATAAAGGACAACAAGTAGCTCAATGAAATTATCTGTCAGCCAGTTAATGGTAAAATGATGAAGACAAGTTCAAAAAAGTTCAAGACAGAGCGTCCATGGTGGCGCAAGGGGTTGAGCGCAGCGCTGTGAGGCTGTCTGCAGCCTCTGCAGCGAGGGTTCGAGCCCCAGCCAGAGAGCTACCCACATGGTACAGCAGACCTCTCCTGACTCGCCCACTGCTCCCCTCAGCAGTGTACGTAAGTCTATCTGCCTGTTCTGTTCCCCGCTCTGTCTCTGGTGAAATCCTCTCACCTCCCACACCTCTGGCCTGTACCCCAGTTCTTGTATGCATAAATAAATAAATCTTAAAAAAAAAATTCCAGACAGTTTTTATGTCGTTCTGATCTAAAAAAAAGATGTCAGAAAAATACTCTGTAGTAAAGTCAACAAAAAAGTTCCTTTAAGCCAAAAGACCTTTTTATTGTTCATTTATCTAGTTAATAACATACTGAAAAATTAAAAGCATTTTATGTGCCCACACAAGACAGAAATGGGGGAAAGGCCAATTTTCCTTATGAAACTTTACCAGCAATTATTTACTCAAATTTCTAGAGCAATGAACTTTAAAAAGAGGGGAGGTAAATAAAACATTTTCTCTTAGCCTCTATATTTGTTAACTTCCTCTTTTTGTTCCTGAATTTTTAAAAAATGTTCCAAAACAATCAAAAATTACTGTACTTTTCCATAACATTTTTCCTGGGCTCACAGAATGCTAGCTAACATCAGAAATAATGATTGAAAGTTGTGTTTGTTTAACTGAAGCCAACTGGGTAAGAACGTTAGACCAAGCTAGACTAATCACCAAAGAAGTGATTTCGGGGCCTCCCCGGTGGCACCAACTATGAAGCAATCTGCAGCCTCTGCAGCATGAGTTTGATCCCCAGCCAGCCAGGGAGCAACCCACATGGCACAGCAAACCTCTCCTGCCTTGCCTGCTGCTCCCCTCAGCAGTGTATTTCAGTCAGTCTGCCTGTTCTGCTCCCCACTCTGTCTCTGGTGAATCCTCTCATGCCCTCATCTCTGGCCTGTACCCCAGCTCTTATATGCATAAATAAATAAATCTTTAAAATAAAAAAAAGAAGTGATTTCTATACCAGCTCCATCAGTGACACAAAATCACTTCGAACAAATTGCTTCTTTTCTCATATTTTCTTGCTGTTGCTAGATTAAGGCAATCTTATTTGTTAAGATATTCTAAAGCACAACAGAATAGCAATTTTTTTTTTTTAGAAACTCAAATAGCATAGGAAAAAGCATATGCCACTTTAAAACACACACATTCAAAGAGATATATCCTGCACTGCCATCACTGTTTTACCAAGACAGCAATACCAGAATTAGTTTGTACCAGGAAAAATTGGTACAGACAGCACAGGAAAGCCAAAAGCTATGATTTAGGGACCATGGGACAAACATCAACAATGAAAGAAATGTACTTATCCTGAGAACACACTCAACTATGCTCCATTATGAAAGTTGCCCAAAATCCTCTAAACAGAACAAATTAAACCTAAGATATTCTTTTTTTTTTAATAGAGGCATGTTTTATTTATTTATTTATTTATTTATTTATTTATTTATTTATTTATTTATTTATTTATTTATACAGTCAGAAGCGCAGGAGGGTGAGAGAATTCACCAGAGCCAGAGCAGGGAGCAGAGCAGGCACAAGGACCGAAGTACACTGCTGAGGGGAGCAGCAGGCGGCAGGAGAGGTCTGCGCGCCATGTGGGACCCTCCTCCGGTGGCCGGTGAACAGCCGGGGATCGAACCCGCGCTGCAGAGGCCGCGGACAACTTTGCAACCCAGCGCTCAACCGCTGCGCCGCCAGGGAGGCCCTAAACCTAAGATATTCTAAACTAGCTTTGACAACCTCAGCAAAGCCTCCTTTAAAATCAGAGAAACACCAAGTTAAAAAACAAAAAGTTAACCTCTACTCAGAATATTTTAGTCAATAAAACACAAACATGACAACCTATCAGAACTAAAACCTATGGAAATACTGTACTACCAAGGTTTAGTTGAACTGCATTTTATTTATTTATTTATTTGCAAACCTATCAAGCTAACAAACACTAAAAAAAAAAAAAAAAAAATCAATCCCCAAATGGCCAACTTGATCAAATATAAGTATATGACTGAATCCAAGCATGAAGAACAATGAAGTGTATGACCCTGGAGAGGGTCAGAAAAGGCACCTTAAGTAGTCTGACTGAGCTTTGCCTAAGTTTCTGAAATGGCAAAGCTGTTAAATCCAGATCAATACCTCCTAAGGAGTTGGATCAGAATCAGGGTTTCCAGTGTCCCCTGGTTTCAGACACAGTTCCAAGAAAGGGAAACAGAATGAATACTGGGCTTGGACATAAACTGGTCTGATCTCTTTCTGCCAGTGAGTAGTGACCACTGACTCAAATGTTAATCACATTCATTTCCTATCTTCTCCCCGCTAGCTTCTGCAACTGTTAAACAAAGGCTCCAAGAACACAGCATCCATAAAAACACATGAAGTAAACACAAATTGCCATCTACCACCCAGGTCCCAAAACTCTTCAATTCCCACCCCCAAAACACCTTCCCTTTCTTTTGCACCAGTAGCCCATTTCTGGTCTTTCTCCTCTTCCCAAATAAATCCAATTGGGAACTCCCCTCTGCCCCACTCAAACTTCACCACTGTGGAACATGGCATTTCCCAATCAAAGACAAAATGAAAACTCAAGCTATTACTTGATAATTTCTCAGTTTAAAAGTTTTTTTCCCAGGCCTCCCTGGTGGCATAAGGGGTTAAGACACAGCACTATGAAGCTATTCGCAGCCACTGCAGCAGCACTGAGTTCAATGCCAGGCCAGGGCTCTAACCCACATGGCGCAGCAGACCTCTCCTGTCTCACCAGCTGCTCTCCTCAGCAGTGTATTTCAGTCAATCCACCTGTTCTGTTCCCGACCCAGTTCTTTTTTTTTTTTAGTTTTTTTTTTTAATAGAGGCATGTTTTATTTTATTTATTTATTTGTTTGTTTGTTTGTTTTGTTTATACATGCACTGGGTACAATCAGAAGCACCGCGGGAGGGTGAGACAATTCACCAAAGCCAGAGCAGGGAGCAGAGCAGGCAGAAGGACCGAAGTACACTGCTGAGGGGAGCAGCGGGCGGCAGGAGAGGTCTGCGCGCCATGTGGGACCCTCCTCCAGTGGCCGGGGAGCAGCCGGGGATCGAACCGGCGCCGCAGAGGCCGCGGGCAGCTTCGCAACCCAGCGCTCAACCGCTGCGCTACCGGGGAGGCCCTCCCCAGTTCTTTTATGCATAAATAAAATCTTTAAAAATAGTTTCCTTCCCATAAATTATTTTATTTCTCACATCTGAGACTATGTCATTAGAACAAATGGGAAATCACAAAACACTAACAAACTAGGCAAAACTCCCTCTCATGCTTTGCTATCTTAGCTTTTGTAAGGTTATTTACTTTATGGTTATGACTTTAAATTGCATTTACAAAATTGTCAATTTTTGTGCTAGGGAAAGTACTGTCAGTTCTTAAGATAAAATCAGTTTTGCATGAACAGATGGCTGACATCTAGGTACTACATTTCCAAACAGGTCAGTTAACTTTATAGAGATAATTTCCATTTTTAAACTAGCAAAAAATATGGAACATAATAAATATCTAGAACAAAGAGACTTGTATGGGCTCTATTAGGGGAGGGAACTGTGTTAGGTTCCTGAAATCAGTTTCAGAGTGGATGGGGTGCAGGGAGGGGGAGAGGCCCAGTTTAGGAATAACTATTAAAAACACCCCCCAGAGACAATGCACAGCAAGAGTGAAAGCAAGGTTATGGCCTTGATAGTGAGAAGGTCTCAGATTTAGAAGCGGAGATTAACGAGTTCAATCACTGGTACAGATGGCACTTTTCTTTTTTTTTTTTTTTCAGACTTCAATATCTTTTATTTCAGTAAAAGACAGCTTTTATTTACAGACTTTAATGTGTGTGGGGACTCTCCAACCCACTTGGACCCAAGTGAAGTTAACCATTAAGCCTTTTTAGGTATTTTCAGTTTGCATACAAAAGTGTTCACATTGATAAAAACCCCAATACTGTAAATGACAAACCCTCCCTTACCTATCCCAAAATTAAATATAAAAACAACTTCAAAAAACACATAATTTAGATGGGTTTAATCTTGAAATGTAATCCAATAAGGCTAAAAACTAAACACTTCAGGTCCTGTACCAAATAGTAAAATACTCGAAGGCCTTCAGGATCCTTTGACTGATTTACATCAATAAGAGACCCTATTTTTGATGTGGTAAAAGAAATGTGTTCGTCTCCAATTACAATTTCAAGCTCCTGTCGGCCAACCCTGTCAGGGGAAGGCCATAAAGCATCATCTTCTTTTGTAATTTCACTGTCATCAATAATTCTTTTCAGTTCTTCCATTACACTCTTGTGTACATAAGCCTCTTTTCTGATCATGACATCATTTTTATAATTGCTGTTGTTGGCATATCTAAGCTTTCCGTCTGGCCGAAACTCGAACTCCAGAAACTCGTGTCCAAACTTGCCCTTGTGCCCTACGTAGTAGCGCAGGTAGAAATCACTGGCCATAGCCATTTTTACCGCAGGAAAAGCCCGCGGAGGCCCGGCCAACGTGCCGCCGGCGCTCAGATGGCACTTTTCACACAGGAGTTTTGATGGCAGCGTGACTTCGGAACAGTACTCCCAAAGTTCCAGGTAAAAGTAGCCAAAAAACTGACCTAATTCTTACAGGTTCTGGACTACTGGTTTGTCCAGGGATACAAAGTGCCCTCAGTCCCACAATTCTGCCACAAAAGTCAAAATGACAAGAGAGCACTCCTGGTATTTCTCACGAAGAAATATGGACCGAAGGCAATTTTTAAATTACATAACTACACCCTTAGGGTGAGATCAAAACATGTTTTGAATGTGCACCTTTCTAAGTGTGTTAAAGAATGCCTGAACCACGGCCTACACGCCTTCAGTCTCTAATTTTTACAATGTTATTTCAACAGCGTCACGCTCCCCACCCAAAATCTCCTACACTAACCTACTCTCCCAATTATTCCTCATGCAACAAACCGAATTAACAGAGGCAACAAAAAACGCGGTTTGCTAAAACTGGATCAAGCCACTGGCTCACCTTTCACAGTATCCCGGGCGAAGGGGACACACCGCAAGGGCAGGCAGGCCCCAGGATCCAATGCCCCAACCCCCCAGCACGACCGGCCATCACCCCCGGGGTCAGGGACGACCTCGCCGCCCGACCTACCTCTGCAGCTCCTCCTCTTGGATCCTCTCCTCGTCCCACGCGAAGACACCTGCGAGGGCCGCCATCAGAGCGGGGGCATGGCCAGGACGGCCCCGCAGCCGGCGCCACAGGCGGCCGAGCAGCACCCGGCGGGAGCTCTCGGAGTAGAGGCGGCCGTAGAGCAGCGCGATCTGCTGCGCGCGCCGCACGCGCAGGCCCGTCACGAAGCGGCACTGATTGGCCAGCAGGGCCAGGAGGCCCCCGCCGCGCGCCCCCGCGCCCCGCCGCCACGGCGCCCGCCAGCCAGGCGGCCAGGGAGGCCGGCGGCCTCCGCGGGAACATGCTGCCCCCGCGCGCCCCTCGGAACCCCGCGGTGCCCCCTGAGCCGGCCGCGCGCCCGGAAGCGACGGAGGCCTCTTTCCCGGGGCGAGCGGCACGAGCCCGGGGAAGAAGGCGCGGGCGGCCTTCACCAACTCCCCCTAATCGTCCGCCTCCAAAGTCGTCTCACTGCCTGGCAGGCGCCTCATCACTCGCCACAGCAGCCGCCCAGGAGAGTCCGTCCAGGGGGTGGCCCCGCGGCCGCCGCGGGCCGGACGGGCAGGCGCCGGTCAGTCCTCGCGGCCGCCTCCCTCCCCGGCGTCCTCCAGCCGGCGCCCGAGCCCGTGGTGCAGAGCACGCGGGAAGCCTTCGGGCGAGCGGCTCCGCGCGGCGAGCAGGCGAGAGCTTAGCTGTTCCGCGTCCTCCACATGCGCCGCCGGCCTGCAACCTACCCTCCTCTCAGCCGCCCGGGTCCTGATTGGGCGTGGCCGGGACTCCTCGGTGCTGATTGGCACAGCCAAATGCTCGTCATCCCTTGCTCCCGCCCTCCGCGTGGCGCGCGGGGTAGCAAGGTAGGTGGCGCAACGACTCGCGCTAGTCAAGGGCGCCCCGGAGAGTGACCGTCGGACCCCGCCGCCATTTTCTCGCCCCCACCCCGCTGAGGGCGCGGCTGGGTGCCTGTTACGGTCCTGCACGGTGCTCGGTCGTTCTGAGAGGCTGGGGCCCGTCGCCTCATTGACTAGTCGAGGGTGGGGTGGAGTCTCCGCTGGGCCCTGGGGGCGTTCCAGTCGGGAGAGGGAGATGGAGACGCCTTTGATTGAGTGTAGACCCTTTGATGAGTGGAGATCCTGCTGAGGCCAGAAGGCAGCTACCCTCAAAACCCTCCTAGGTCTCCCTGGCGGGCTCTTCCCTGAATGTCTGGGCCGCGGAAATGGCCCCGGAAAGTCGGAGTCTGGACACTCGTCTTCGGAGTACCCCGGGACGCGAGAGTGTGATCTCCTTATAGCCCGGGACACTTTCCTTAGAGCTATGGGGGCAGGTGGCCCGTTGCAGTCTGGAAATGCAAAAACCCATAGGTGAAAGGGCAGCAGAGTGAGGTTTCTTAATAGCTGGCTTTCCCCCCTTTAACCCAAAGGTGACAGCGTGGCAGGTAAACAGCTTTCCTAAAACTTAGCTTGCACCATTCCTGAAAACCTGGAGCATTAAATTACTATGCTGGACCAAACCTCACTAAAACGAAACTGCTGGATGTCCAGTAGGAAAACCTTACATTATTTTTTTTTTTAGGACAATGTTAAGTACCTTATTGACAAAAAAAAAAATTCTAAAAGGATTTCTTGGTGTGAAAGGGGTTTTATTCTTTGCAAGGCAATACATTCAGAAATTTCACTCTTACTGTAGCTATTGCAGCAATTTTAGATAAAAGATGTTTCTCCAAAGAGAGAGGGGAAAAAACTGTGCTTTACTGAAAGCTGAAATTTAGCTCTAGCCTATGCAGATTAACTTTGACTCTGGTATTGGTAGTTATATTTCCTTGAAATCTCTGTTGTATATAACAGAAAATAATTTGCTGCTTTGGTAAACCATGCATTTCTCAGTGATGGTAGGAGGGCCAGCCAGGCAGGGACTGAAAGAAGAGGTTGAACTTTCCTAGTGTCCTGCTTCCCTTGATGAAAAAGAGTACTTTGCTTGTTTTTTATTGTTTTTGCTTTGTTTATCCAAAATCAGTTTCAAGGGCCTCCCCTAGTGGCGCAGCGGTTGAGCGCTGGGCTGCGAGGCTGCCCGCAGTCTCTGCAGCCCGGTTCGTTTCGCCGCCGCGGCGGCGGCGAGGGTCCCACACACACACAAAAAAAATCAGTTTCAAGAACACATTGATCTGGCCATTTCTCTCTGGCTCTACTGTCTTTTTCCCCTCAGTACATAAACATAATCAAACCCATCTTCAACAATGCTTTGGGAGAAAAAAATCTCTTCCTCTTTCCACCCCTTCTCTGTCTGTGGATACAATTTTGTTTTTTAAAGAATAAATATGCTTGCTATCTGCATTTCTATGCCTATCAATTCTTGCTCTTTAAATTTTTTTAAAAAATTTCTGCCCCACCATTCTCACTGTCTTTTCCTTCAAACCCTAGTACTCTCTAACCTTCTCTCCCTTCCAGCCGATTGGCCACAAATTTTTTTCGCTTGTATACCCATAAAATAATGTTTAAAAACTTTATTTCCTTTGCATATTTTAAATTGATATGAATTTCTTCATCAAGAGCTTGTCTTATATGTTGGCTTCTACCTGTTCCTGTCAAACATACCAAAATCCAAAACTGAGTAGACCCAGTGATAACCCATAGTAAAATGAAAGTGGTACATCCAGAATTAGTATGAGCAGGGCCAGGAGCACAAGTAAAGCTGATGACTTAGACATTCATGTCACTTAGGTAGTTACCCCATTTGTATACCATTGCCTCTCCCTCCGTTCACACCTATGATTGCAAAGGAGGTGTGATCTCTTTATAACCAACTGGTAGAGCAGGGAAAAAAAAAACAAAGCCTGATTTGCAGATAGGACCGAATGGTACATAGGTGCAAGCTGGAAAGGAACTGCGACTGCACTAATACAGTTCTGCCCTTGGGTGATCTTGAGTGAAGGTGGTGAGGGGAATTCCCTCACCAATGGATTAAAGTCTTCTCAATGCTGCACCTAGTCATTCGCTCTGTGTGGGTAGATATGTAGCCGAGATTGAAATATATATATGACTCCTGGCACTAGCAGTTGACTTGGCTGGTTGACAAGGAGCCTGAGGAAAAAGATTAGAAGATAAGGGCAAGGAGGAGTAGCAGACCTCTCCTGGCTCGCCCACTGCTCCCCTCAGCAATGTACTTTGGTCAATCTGCCTGTTCTGTTCCCCACTCTGTCTCTGGTGAATCCTTTCATCCCCCACACCTCTGGCCTGTACCCCAGCTCTTATATGCATAAATAAATACATTTTTTTAAAAAAAGATAAGGGCAAGGAGCTCTGGGAGAGGGACATGTTGATGAAATAGGTAAATGGGCAAGATGTGTGCAGATGCCCACCAGAGAACATCTGTGAAAGAGGCATTGAACAAACAAGGAGACAGCATGACTCAGTCAGTTGATGCTGAGTACATGATATGGCACAGTAAGCATGTGACTAGAGTAGCCACGGTGACAGATGGGAGCAATACACGAACCCAAGAACATGGTCTCCCACTCAGAGGCTTGGATAGCTACTGCCACTGCTGGTACCACTTGTCCACCATTGCCTCTCCCTGAGTTCTCGCCTATGACTGCAAAGGAGGTGGGGCCCTTTGTGAATGTCCAGTCTTCCAGCAATGAATTCAGTGCTGAGCTCCCAAAATGGCACGTCCCTCAAGGAGAACAACTAGCCATTTGATGACAAGTTGACTGCATTGACATCTTGGAAATGGCAGCAATTTATTTTGATTAGAATTGATACATTATGGGTATGGTTTCCCTGTTCTGCCTGCAGGGCTTCAGGTAGCATCACTGAGTGTTTACTGAGTGTTTAACCGTTGATGTAGGATCTCATATAGTGTTGCATCAGCCTAAAGGACTAAATGAACAGCAAAAGAGGCTTGACAGTGGCACATGACCATAGGATCCACCGACCCTTTCATGTTCTATACCACCCAGAAGATGCCAGCCTCAACAAGAGAGAAGGAATGACTGTTAAGGCAGAGTTGCAGTGCCAGTGTGGAGATGCAACCAATTGTGGAAGAAGTATCATCTTCCAGGACACAATATATACTTTGTCACAACCAGTATGTTGCTACATCAAAGGATAGGTCTAGAAGCCAGAGAGTAGAAAGAAGTGACTCTACTTACCATTATCCCCAGTGATCTTGTGGCATTTCTGTCACAATAACTCTGAGCTTTGAGGGTTCTGAGGTTCTGGTTCTCAAGAGGAAATGTTTCCATCAGGGGATGTAGCAAAAATCCATTGTACTTTAATACACAACTGCCACTAGGCACTTTGAGCTACTCAAGCCAAGGGACCAGCAGGCGAGAAACAGGAGACACCTTCTTGGCAGCAGTAATTGACTCTGATCGTCAGGAAGAGCCAAGGCTTTTGTTAAGCAGTTGGGGCAAAAAGGAATATGTTTGTCAACCAAATGACCCAACTGGGTGTCTCTTTGAACACCTTTGCCCAATTTTAATGGCAAAAGACATGGAGCTTGTCTGGGGACCAGGGGCTCAGTGGAGGTGATTCCTAAGGGTGAAGAAAATCTAAAATGGATAGCAGAGAAAGATGATGAGTATTATTTGGGACCTCCTGGGTCAGCTGCAATGGTGGGGACTGTGGTTCTTCGCACTAACCATCTGCTCCCAGAAAAGCTGCTCCCAGAATCTATACAGAGAAATAGTTGTGAGTGGCTTGAGGAAGCATGGACACGGATATGCTGCACAGGTCCACCTTTGTCCACCTTTGTCATGTCTGAAGGGCTTCTGCCCCTGGCTGCTGGGAGAATTGCTAGCTAATAGCCTTCAGTTATCAGCCCTGTTGAGAAACTGCCCCCCAGGGAGTGGAGCTCCCTACCCAAGGTCACATCCCCTTCTCTGTGGAGAGGAAGTACCCAATGACTGAAGCTGGAGTATAAATGTCTGGTCCCTTCATCCAGCTCAGAACAACTCGAAAGACCATCCCAGCTGCAAATTTCTCTATGGGATCAGCTGAAGCCTTTATTGAGCCTACTTTGCACCCATCTTCTCCTTTTGACCAAGCTGCTTCCTTCCTTCCCCCACAGGTGTTGAACCTGAGTGCCTCCAATCCCACAGCATGCTAATTTCCACCTCAACATCTGCCAACTGGGGGACCTGCCCTGAAACAGACTCTGCATTGAGTTCAGTGGAGTATTTCTGTCCAGAGAATTGGTATTGGGAGCTAGGTCACGGGCCCTCTGCCAGAGAGGGCACTGCACATGCCCTTGCTTTCTGCCCTGCCCTTCCTTCTTGCCCACTGGTTTCAGGTCCCAGACTGGACATAATCTCCCCAGTTTGGGGATCTGGCAGAGACAAAGCACTATTTATTGTCTTAGGTGTAGCATGTATAGAAATCATTTCTCAGGCATTACACATGAAGATAGGCATGCCCCAGAGGGTAAAATGGACCCAATTGAAGTTAATTAGCATTAGCTTTAATGCCTTTGCCTTGGTCCCTTTCCCCAAGTACTTGGAAAGTAAGTTGTTTGATTCTGATGCAGCCTCTTGCTCCATCTTTTAGGTGAAAAGCAGCAATGATTGTCTTTCCTTCAAAAAATGAATGCTATTCAATTACTCATTAGTATGATTAATCTCTATAGCAGGCAATTTGCCCCTAATTCATAATCTAAAAAAACACACCTGTTTTTGTCATCAAGGATGGGCCTATATAGGGATGGAACTGCAAGGCCAAAGACAATTCAGGTCAAGTCTTCTCTGAACCAGATCAGAATCTCTGGTGAGAATCAGCTTTCAGCAGCCTCCACAAATCCTCTGCAGCAAGACTTCCCTGTCTCATGTAGGCAAGAATTATCCTCATTATCCCACCAGGACAGTGGGCCTGGAACCCAGGAAGTGAAATGGAGCACATGATGACTACTGCCTCTTTCCTTCCTATAGTCAGTGCTCTTCTGGCTCAGCTTAGGTTATTATTTTCAGCCTGGCCCAGTTCACAATGGGAAGGGCTGCTGCACCTGGAAATAGAGCTGCTTTGTTGCAGTGAGGCAGGTGCAGAGGAACCAACCCTAGCTTGGAGACTATCTTAGGTAAAAGATACACAAAGATGCACAAGCAAGTAAAAATCCAAGTCCTAAGGGGCTATAGGCAGGAGGCAAAGAGGATAGCAGATAAGCCCCGGGACAAGAGTGGACCGCATTCCAGAGGGAATGACAAGGATCGGCCTTTAAGTGTGTTGGCCTGAAACTTCTTCAGTTCTTCCTGCTTAGGACCTAGGTAGGCCTATTTTTTAAAAGATTTATTAATTTATGCGTACAAGAACTGAAATACAGGCCAGAGATGCTGGGGGTGAGAGGATTCACCAGAGACAGAGTGGGGAGCAGAACAGGCAGATTGACTGAAATACACTGCTGAGGGGAGCAGCAGGCGAAACAGGAGAGGTCTGCCGTGCCATGTAGGTCAGCTCCCTGACTGAGGATTGAACTCGCACTGCAGTGGCTGTTGATAGCTTCATAGTGCTGAGACTTAACTCCTTACACCACCAGAGGGGCCCCCTAGGTCAACCCGTTTTAAATGTCATCTCCATAAATCTTTGAAATCTTAACCTGTTTCCTTCCATGTGCAGGGTATTTTACTTGGGGTAATATTCCTCTCCTCTATTTACTTTGTCTCAAAGTAAAAGGTGACTGTGGTAGGTAGGGAAGGGGAAAACTCGTCATGCAAAGGCCAACTCCACCCCTCTTTCCTACCTGCAGCTATTGAATCCTACTGCTCTTGCTGAGGAGGACCCTATCCCTACAGCAGACAGGGTCAGGGGGAGGCTTTCTCTGGTCTAGTGCTGCCACAATTGGGTTAGTGAGCCTCCTATGGCACTGGTATTACCAGTTCACTTAGCTGGCACACCTCAGTCTGTCTTCCAACCTAGCCTCTCTGTCAGTAATAAAGGGGATATCTTGGGCCTCCCCAGTGGCGCAGCGGTTGAGCACTGGGTTGAGAGGCTGCCCGCAGCCTCTGCAGCGCTAGTTCGATCCCCGGCTGCTCCCCGGCCACCAGAGGGTCCCACATGGCGCACAGACCTCTCCTGCCGCCCGCTGCTCCCCTCAGCAGTGTACTTCGGTCCTTCTGCCTGCTCTGCTCCCCGCTCTGGCTCTGGTGAATTCTCTCACCCTCCCGCGCGTCTGACTGTACCCAGTGCTTGTATAAATAAATAAATAAATCTTAAAAAAAAAAAAAAGGGGGATATCTTGGCCTTTATCTATCACTTCTGTATTCTCAGGGCCCTCAAAGAGACTCTAGAAAAGCTTTCCTGACCCCTCAATCTTGCTGATGTTTGAATTCCCATGGCATTTTGGGGATATCTCTAGTATGACTTTTGATTATTCGGGTAACTACCTTATTTCCTTCCCTTGCTAGTTGAGAAAATCACAAGAAAATGCTCCAGTGGTCAGCCAGTAGACAAAGATGAAGGGACTAACTTGAAGAGACAGACATGGAAACAATGATAACACCATGTGATGAGTGTGTTAACCGGGGTTGCAGACAAGGTTCTGTCCAGAGCACCAATGAACAAAGCAAGAGAGAGCTTAGGATGTGTGCAGCTCCACCAACCCAGTGTCACATCCTTCCATTTCTGAGAAATATTTGTTTCAGCTGCTAAGCATCCATTGCCCTTCTTTTGCGAAAAAGTACTTTGATTTCCATTTAATGGAACCACTCTTCCTGCTAAGCTTCAGGCTTTCCTAGCCTGATTCTATTCCCAACATTAGGGTAAACAAGAGACACTAGGCCTGGCCAATCAGGGCATTGAATCTTCCTGGCCACAGGGACTCATTCAGCAATGAGATCTATCCCAAGTTGGTCAAATCAGATTGAATACTGGGACATTTGTAAACTTCAAGGAACAGGCTTACCTTGTTTTCTGTTGGACTTAGTGCTCTGAAGAAAGTATGAAGCTGAGCAGTCCCCTTACCACTACTAGGGAAAGGCATGGCTAGGAAGTGGAGCCAGCACCCAAAGTGGGCATTTAGATAGCACCCTTGGAGCACCTGAATTCATTGCATTGTTTGACTTTACTGGTACTAAGCCAAGAAAGTTCTTTCTTGCATTACCAATTTTAGTTGTTTTGTAACTAAAAGTATACAGGTTAATACACCCTTAGGTAAGATCAGAAAAGGTTTCAGCATCTGTTTTCTTAGTCATGAGGCTTCATGAGGGTATCTAAAGTTCTATTTGTTTAAACAAATCCTGTTGCAATGGAAAGATAATTCATACTTTTCCATTTCTGCAAAATGTTTAAATGTCTTTCTACTGGGCATAAATTTACCTGTGACTGTAGGCCCTTGCCACAGTCTATGTTACCTTGATATAGTATCCAGGATATATAAAAAACTCTTACAGCTAAACAATAAAAATGTAAATAACCCAATCTGAAAATGGGCAAAGAATTTCCATAGATGTTGGTGTTTCTCCAAAGAAGGTATATATAAAAAGGATAATGTCCTTTCGGTGAGATTGTTGAGAAATTGGAATACTCGTGTTGCTGGCGGGAATGTAAAATGTTGCAGCTACTCAAAATTAGTGGCAGTTCCTCAAACTATTAAATAGTCATCATGATGCAGCAATTCCACTTCTAGGTATATACCAAAAAAAATTGAGAACATGTATTAACACAAAACTTGTGTACAAGTGTTCATAATAGCCAAAAAGCAGGGGTCTCCCTGGTGGTCAAGGGGTTAAGCATCAGCATTATGAAGCAATCTGCAGCTACTGCAGCATGAGTTTGAACCCCGACCAGGGAGGTGACCCACATAGCACAGCAGACCTCTCCTGTCTCGCCTGCTGCTCCCCTCAGCAGTGTATTTCAGTAAACCCGCCTGTTCTGTCCCCCACTTTGTCTCTGGTGAGTCCTCCTATCCCTCGTACCTCTGGCCTACACCCCAGACCTTGTATGCATAAATAAATCTTTAAAAAAATAGCCAAAAAGCAGAAAAACCTAAATGTGTATCACATCCTGGCCACAAGTTGTGCTTGTGTTCATCATCCTCAGTGGGAATGCTCCCCACCCCATCTCCAAATACTTTCCCAAAAAGCCTGGCTCAAGCTGCCTCCGCTGGTCAGAACAGGTCTCCCTTCTCCCGAGAGCACAGCACTTTCCCCAGCGGCCCATCAGACAACTCACTCCATGCTGCCTTTTCATGCACAAGTCTACCTTAAACTAAGCATATAAAATCCCTGGGAGACAAGCCCCCTGGTGGTCCCTTCTCTCAGGTGTACGCAACACAGGGCCTTTCATAAGTGTCTAAATGAGACACATTCCTAGTTCCAGAGAAAGACTTGTATTTTTCCTCAGAATAAAAGAAGAACTAGGAAGGTTGCTCTACAGAGGGAGCCTAAGCTTTTACCATGATAGCGATGTGGGCTGTATTGGCTGACTGTATGAATAAATAAATGAATGAATAGAATGTAGGTATCCATTCGAGGCCTGGCATTGGCCCTGAAGAGTTCTGCAAGTTAAACTCCCAGAACTGTTCCCACTCACATACCTTGTCCCTTAAGCCTATGGTTTCAAAAGATAATTTCTTCTGCCAGGTCCTGAGAAGACTAGTTCCCCCCACACAATTGTTAGAGTTCAGAAGCAGCCCTCTCATCTGCAGCTAACCAAGTTGTGCAAGAGAAGAGCTCAGGATCTGAAGCCGAGAACTGGGGCAGGGGGCATCTAGTGCTCCTGACCCTGGGCTGGTGTGGAAGTTGTCAGGGCCAGGGGAGGGTCATGTAGGTGAAAATATCTTGCAGAGTAGCCACATGCACATCCCTTCTAATTTTTTTAAATTACTTTGATTGCTCTTGTTTCTCTAAGAGAAAGGGAATAAGTGAAAATCAGGGAAACTGACTAAAAAATGACAGGGAGCCTTTGGTATTTACATTCTTATTGTGGTTTCTGATTTTTTGCTGTTTTGCTTTTTAATTTTTTTTTCTAGAAAAAAAAAAACACAACCAGGGGAATTGATATGATGAACTATTAGTGACAGGATGGCAGGGGAAAAGAGAAAGAAAGGCCAGAGACATAAGAAGCTAATAAAAAGTGGATTCCGAATTGCATGGAACTGCCCACAGGGTCATGTCCAGGTCCTCATGAGATGACCGGACACTTTGGCATGCGTGTTCAGTATCCGGTCTCTTGGTCTGCCCACTCAGACATCCACCCACAGTCAGAGTTGGTCACACTCTAGAAATCTGCCGAAGGTAAACTTGAACTTCACAGAAAGACAAGACTCGATTTAATCAGCTCCTTGGCTTTGTGCTCAGGTATCACAAGGCAGTCTTTCTTGCCTTAGAGAAGAGTCTGGAAGAGTGTGAGTCATCATGGGTCACACTTTGGCATCACAGTGAACTCCAGGCAGTACTCCTTCATGTGTGGACATGGCCCTCACCACTTACACTGCATCTGTCCAGACATCCCCAGGCAGTCTGGCGGAAGAAGGATGAGGGACATGACAGTCCCTTTCTAGCCACAACTCAACAGTGGTGTCCATTCTCTAGTCTTGCTCTATTGCCTGTGGGAGGAGGTGGGGGAATTCATCTGTTTTTCAGTTCGGCACTGGACCCTGACTCCAAAGAAGCTTGGCCAACTGGATCCACACTGAAGGCCCCTAAGTTTCTCCCACTTTGTGCCCCAGATCTCAGGGGCAGAAAATTCAGCCCCAACCAGAGCTATGTGTGGAGTGATAGTTAGGCAAGAAAGAGCCAGTAGCACACTGCAAGGCCAGAGTACATTCAGGAAGGGGAGAGAGGCATGCAGCAAGCTGTTGCCCCAAGTCACAGTCTAGAGGATGCACTGAATCTGAAGGACACAACCAGATCCGTTAGTTTGACACCTCACGTGATGGGACCCCACTGGTTGTGGTTCCTATGTGGAGAGTGGTGGGCTTCCCGCCCTGCTGTGGCCCCTGTTCCTGCAAGGAGGCCAGGTTACATCTCAGTGCCACAGTCCTGAGGAGCACCACGCTGGCCAGCCAGCCAGGCCACAGTCCTCAGCCCCTCTGGGGATGGGGTTCCAGGTTCCACAGGAAGGCCCCAGGGAGCTGGGGTCACTGAGAAGAGAGCAAGGAAAGAGGGCTGCATTCTGCTAGGGGAGATTCAGGAAGGAATGACCACGGGCTGGAAGGAGCTATGGCTTAAAACAACACATAGCCAAGAGGAAGTGGATAAATATCTGAAGAAAAAAAAAAACAAGTCTTGTCCCTAGTTTAAAAAGAGAATTTGTTTCTGTGTCTTGGTTGTTTCTTCTTTTAAAACCACCCACATTTTAAAAGGTGAAGGGGCTGGGGAGATACAGTTCCCTTCACTCACCCTCTGTGGGTACTGGGAGGCCCCAGGCCTCAGGTGGTGCTCTCCTTGCCGGGGCTCCAGCCACTCAAGCAAGGGCAGGGCGGGGAGAGCAACTGCTGTGCTTTCCAATAGCAATTCCTTCTCCCCATAAAACCAGAGCGCACCTGATGGGACGCTCAGACTAAAGTGCAGAGAATTCAAAGGAGTAACTACTCCAAGAAGGAATGGGGGTGGGGAGGGTACATGTTGGGGGTGTGTGTCAGCCCAGAGCTACAGCTGTGGAACAAACGTTGACCCTCATGGGGCTAGTCTGCAGGGCACAGTCCTCTTTCCCTTGGACCCTGCTGACACTTCTCCTGTCTGGGACTGTCCACTGTCAGCAGCTCCCCGAGGAAAGTCCCGGTCTCAAAGATATGGCCCGTGAAAGAGAACACTTGTATGACCCTCCCTGGTTGGTAATGACTAGTGACCATGAAGAAGTGACAGGAGGGGAACCAGTGCATTATATAAAATTGGTGAACCCCAGGTTTTGAGAGCAGGGATACACTAACAACCCTAAAGGCAGAGTCTCTCCCAGGGAAGGTTTGGTGAAGATGGTCAGGATCCTACCCGTGCAGCCTGCTGGGGAAGGGAGCGCCTCTGGGTGTGAGAGGAGCTGCAGAGTGGGGAGGGATTGCTGAGGAAGAAAGCCTGAGGTGGCATTAGGGTGTGTAGGCTGGAGGTGGCTGGAATTGGTTGATGACCTCATATTCTGCTGGGTAGGGCTCGTTCTCCTCCATCTCAGAGAGCAGCTCCAGTGCTTGCTCCTCTTCCTCCGTGGGGTAGTGGCGCAGGAGGTTGGCTGCTGTGGCCAGGATTGAGGCTCCACCAGCTCCTGCCACCAGGTAGAAGCTAACAGCAAAGGTGACATAAACCTGGGAACCATGGTACTTCTTATGTTGCTGCTGCTGGGCCAGGATGAGTTCGGAGGCCCAGTAAGAAAAGCCGATAACAGTGGCACACTGCAGGACTGGGGGACAGAGAAATAGCACAGAAGTGGGGTTAGCAGGCACCCTGCAGTCAGGATACCTGAGCAACCAACTGCAGCCTCTCTACCCAAACCCCATTCTCAGAGACCCTGCAAGGAGGAACTCTCTAGTCATGGGAGTCTCAGGCTGGGTCTGAGACAGATGCCTGACCCCATCTGGGCCAGTCAGCTTCCCTGTCCTAAGGATTTGGAATTGGGATACTACAAGTCATTGGGTGCTTGAAAGGAACAGACAAGGTCAAACAGTTTGGAAGTTAGAGTCAGCACAACCACAAGTCCCAAGCACAGCAGCCCAGTCACGGGGAGGAACGAAGTTGCATGCAAGCAAAGAAGGCTGGTCTGCAGGGAAGCAGGAAGGGGTGGAGAGACTCTGGTGAGAGCATGGACTCCGGGGAAGACACAGAGAGACACTTTGGCCCTCCCTTGCTGCTTCCAGACCCCATGAGCTGGGTTGAACTTCTAATCCAGTTCTTAGAGAACAGTAAGATCTCTTGGGGAATTCTAACAATACCCTCCCCAGAGCAGGGCAGCGGTGATGTGTGGTCCTGGCAAACATGCAAATGACAGAAGCAAGCTGCTATCACGCCCTGGTGCTCTGTGTAAGGTTAGAGCAGAAACAAGCATATGGAATGGTGTCTGCACACGGAATACCTTCGACCCACCTGCAACACCAGACAGGATACCCCAGCCCTATGGCAGATCCTCCCCCATGATGAGCAGGTTACCTGTGAGGATGTGGGCAAAGGCATAGCGACGGGTGATCTTCAGGGCTGGGTGCTTGGGCCCAAAGACATCCAGAAGGAATGCAGAGAGACTACACAGGATGCCCAGGAAGCAGAAGGCAGCAATGACCCGCAGGAGCAGCACTGTCTGGGGATTCATGCAGAAATCTGTAGGGAGAGAAACAAATCTTCAGGGCCTAGGCAACCCTATGGCAGGATGTCCACACCTAGAGTAAGAGTTTGTCCCCTCTCTGCCACAGTCCTGGAGAGCCAGGGGCACACCTGGTCTTAGCTCCCGCTCCCAGCTGGCATGGGGAAAAGATGGGACAATTTTTCTATTAGCAGACAGGAGCCCTGGGTCACTGCTTCCATGTCCCTCTGTCTGTCTTCCCTTTCCAACAAGACAGGAAGTGTCTAAGTGCAGGACTCCACTTTGCTGTACTTGTCACACTCTTCTAATGAGTTGGAAAGACCCTGAGTTGTTAGTCTCACATGTTAACACATTCTGCTATAGCATGCTTTGGGGGGCAGGAAAAATCCATGGAATTCTGAGCTGAGACAGCCACAGAAGCTAAGCTCAGAGGTCAACCAATGTCAATTCTCTATCCAGCCACACATTCATCCCTATTTGACCCAAAGAAAAAACTGAAGTGGTTTAAAGAAACAAGAGTGTACTACATAAATTAGGAAAGATGGTAGATTGAATGGTCACACATATTTTTTCTTCCCTTCCTGAGCTGTAGAAAAACAAAAGAAAAAAATTGTTAAAAAAGGCATAAACTCAGGGCCTCCCTGGTGGCACAGGGGTTAAGTCTCAGCACTATGAAGCTATCCGCAGCCACTGCAGCACACATGGCGTAGCAGACCTCTCCTGTCTCGCCCACTGCTCCCCTCAGCAGTATATTTCAATAGATTCACCTGTTCTGCTCCCTAAACTGTCTCTGGTGTATCCTCTCACCCCTTCCCCGCACTTCTGCACTCCAGTTCCTGTATGCATAAATAAATAAAATAAACCTTAAAAAAAAAAAAAGGCATAAACCCATACAAAGAGGAGAAAAGCAAAACAAATTCTGGGAAGTGGAATGTAAAGCGATTTACAATTGATGTAATAGACTAGATTAAGCTGAAGTGTAAGCCAGAAGTAGGAAAAGCTAAAACATACTGGATTGATACTACAAAAGCTGCAAGCTTTTGTGACAGCACAAATACCTTCTAAAATGAGGGCAAAGCCATTGAGGGGAGCATGCTCTACCAAAATGAGGGAGTAAACCAAGAAAAAGGAAGATGCTGAAACAGGAGATACAGCATTCGAGGAGTCCCCAGGGTCATTCGAGGATGACATTCCAGGAGATCAAAGAATGACAATGTGCATTAGACACATAGAACAGCCTCTACCTTTTCCTTCTAGACCACATTTCCCCCCCAACTAGACCATAGTCAGTCCCCTTTGACATTATGTAATCTGTCATAGCACCCAGATACACACAGACAGTATAAGGGCTGATCCAAAAAGATGCCATTTTAAGCTTTAATAAAAAATAGGAAATGGGTCTTAATTTCTACTCCCTCCTCTACCCCAATCATCGGCAAGCTCTCTTTTTATTTAGGCCATTGGTCCTGAAGTGATTTAGGAACACTTGGAAAGGGCAGACAAGACTCAGACTATAGGCTCCTTTCCTGAGTCTGGGTCACAGGCTGAGAGTCGAGGGATGATGGACATCACTCTCTAGAGCACATCAAAATTCCTGGGTGTGAGCTGAAAGCATGTTCCCGGCCCCAGAGATTCTGGACGCTAGGTCTGGGGCAGGGTCCAGGAATATGGGTTTTAACAAGCAGTTCAGGTAATTCCCATACAGGGGCACTGACTCTGGTCAGACAGGAAGTTGGACTGATGAATGAAAGTCCAAGACCGGGACCCAACAAAGCAGATTCATAGCCATGTATTTGGCATCGTGGGGTCTTGGGCAGAGGGCCAAGCCTCCCACATATGAGAACCAGAACAGAAATCAAAAGGCTCTGGGCCTTTGTGACAGCATGCATTCCCTGCCTCAGGCCTACATGAGACCCATATGCCTCCATCTGGTGTCAGGTCATCCACTAAGCTGCCCTCAGAGCTATCTGTCACTCTCTTGTCAGTTGACCGCCTGTTTTTGGCCAATCACCCAGCCTGGGTGATCTCCTACCGCCAAGAGGCTTGCCTGTGCATTAGCTCAGCCAGCAACCAGGACCAACCTTCATTAATCCAGCCCTGCATAGCCTAAGACAGCCATATGGGCTTGGAAGAGTCTAGAAACCCAGAGGGCCTCATCAAAAGAAAAGCTCTTGGAAACAGGGGCTGCCTTTATTCTGAAGATTATTAAAAGCTCACTGAGGGGGCGTCCCTGGTGGCCTAGAGGTTAAGTTTCAGGGCAATCACTGCTAGGGCCTGAGTTCAATCCCTGGCCAGGGAGCTAACATATGGCGCAGCAGACCTCTCCTGTCTCACCTGCTGCTTCCCCTTAGCAGTGTAAATCTGCCTGTTCTGCTCCCCACTCTGTGTCTGGTGAGTTGTCTCACTAACCCCCCCCCCCCCCCGCAACTCTGGCCTATACTCCAGTTCTACAAAAAACAAACAAACAAACAAGTGCACTGAGATAGTTTTCCTTGGGGTCCACATGGCAAATGGCAGTGACAAGGCAAGACGAAAGTGTTCTTCTAGTGTTTCCAAGAATAACCCATGAGCAGCAGGGTGTAAGGGCTGACATCACACACCGCTCTGCAGCAGGCTGTGGTCAGAGGCCACCAGCATCACTTAATGTGGTCTGGCACTCTGAAGGGTGCTTTAATTGTGGTTCTTAAAAATAGGCTAAGTTTTATTTAACAAGTTTTAACTGAAAAAGCAATACACCGGAATTTCAAAGACACTTTCTCCCACTGCACAGCAAGTATAGGATGTTCACTTATTCTCATCCCTAAAAATGCACTTTTATCACATACACTCCTGTGTCCTCTGTTTCATAATATACTTGTTTTAGTAAGGAAGACCTAGACATGATAAAAAGCTTCAGAGAGGACTCCCCTCCCCTTCCAGATGTCCAACTGCCCAAGAGGCAAACATTATTGGCAGTTTCTTGCATGCCCTCCAGGAAAAGCCTGTGAGCACAGATGGGTCAAATGTTATCCTGGCTTAGCTTCCCTTCACTCTGGGGGATTCACCACACAGCTCAGATGAGGACTCTGAGGCTCCAGAAGGTTAAGTGACTTCCTCCTGGTCACAAAGAGCAGAGCTAGACTCCAAAGCCCCGTCAGGGTTCCTTACATTGTGACGCCAGGAATCACCAAGCAGCAGAGTTAGCCATTTTATTTTTCCCAGACAGAGATAATCAATCAAATTCTAAAGAGCTGAATTTGAATGAAAGGTCAAAAGTTAATATGAATGCTGTCAGAACCATCCTCAGAACCAGAAGCAGTTGCATTCACTAAGGGAAAGCTGGAAGCAGGAAATCTCTTCTAAGCAAAAAAGGCTTGGGTCATTAAGCAATGAATAAAGTGCTCAGAGTGGGAATTATTGGCCAAAACCTGCTTGATGTGGCCTAAGCTTCAGCAGCCATCGCTGTGGCTCCTGCAAGCTGTAGGGGAGGTCTTAGCCTCAAATCCTAGACCCACCACAGACTATGCGATACCACCAGCACATGACTTGACTGCCCTTGGCCTCTGCACTCATTTATCAAATGAAAGCGAAGCCACAACACCTGCCACATGGAAGCAGTCCCGCTAATCTGGGCTGATTCAGCTGGGCACAGCAGCGCTGCCCCTGGGGTGCCTTTCCTTCTATGGAATCTTCCTCGTCTACATACAGCAGTGAGAAGCAGAGAAAGACCCCACCGAACCCAGACGAAGGTTCTGCCCCACCAGTATGATGCGGTATAGAGGGGGGCTTTCACCAAATGGGTTTTGACCCAAAATTCAAACAGGTTTTGTTTCAATGTGACTGCCTTTCTCTACCTTAAATCTGTGCATAAACGCTCAGGTTTAGTGAGGAGCCAAATGTAATGTTCCCTGGAGTGATGCTAATAGACACCCCAGGAGCCTGCCACACATCCCAGGTGGTCTTTCATCAGCGGTTATGGGAGCAGAGAGAGGACAGCAGTTATCCAGCACCAACACTGCTGGGGTCAGGATCTCAGTGTCTCTTTCTCTTCTCTCCAACCAGTCATCGGCATGGCAGGGAGGGCAAAAATATCTGCTCCCATGAGGGGACTGCTAAAAAGAACAAGACCTGCAAATGTGTGGATGTATTATTTGTGGAAAGAAATGACTGGCATATGGGGCAGGGTCCTGATTTGAAATTCAAACCTGTGATGCAGAAACTCTGGTAAGGCAGAGAACACATCCTATTCTCCAGTTGTGCTGTGGCCTGTTTATTTTGGTAACTATTGCTCGACTGTCCGTCCAGTCACTAGGGAAGAAGGCAGCTGCTGCGTAACAGGATCCCAAGGAACTGACTTTGCCCAAGGTCACTGGTGAGTCATTGAGCTAGATTTGTTTTGAAGGCCCTGGCTCTTCCTGTCTACCTGCCCATTGCTCACACCCCCTTACTGACCCAAACAGGCTGTAAGGCAGGAAGGTTAAAGTGGCTTCTGGCCAGTCTTCTACTCCACCTTCCCTGCTTTCTCCCCTCACTAGAGTTCCTGTGAGTTAGAGGTACTTCCCCATGGCTCAAATCCTTCTCAGCACTCATCAGCCCACCTGCAATGCCTTGCCCCACTGACTTTTTGGCACCCAGACAGGCTTCTGGCACCGGACTCCAACAAGGCCCTCTAGTGCCTGGTCAAGTCACTACCACAGATACTAGTAATCCCAGCCAAGTTGAGGCCCTGGAAGTGCCAGCTGCCTCAGTCACCACCCCTCAGACACACCCACCCTCCTTGGAAGGCCCTTGATCTCCCCGTGGCTTGCTGTCAACCATGATTCACCTGACTTCCTCATTCTCCAAAGTTGCTTTCCTAAGGCTGTTGTGCTGCCCTTTGCAGGCAACACTTGAATGGCAGGGAGAGGTTGGGGCTCCCCTGGCTCAGACTGAAGAGCTGTATGAGAAGCAGGCACCCCCAGGGAGTAGAAGAATCCAGGAATCTTTTAAGCTGGACTGCATTTGCTAAAGCCTTTAGGGGATCTGCAGTGACAGTGGGAGGGTGAGTGCTTCTGCCTCAGAATGACCAACTTGAGCCTTAACACTGATGTGATGAGGGATGAAATACACTGTTAGCTGGGCCTGTGATAAAAACCCAGCTGGAATGGGGAAATAACCCTTGGAAAGCTCTGGCGGAAAAAAAAAGAAATAAAGTACACTAAAGCGTGGTGGTAAGAATGGAGTCTGGGGCCTCCCCAGTGGCGCAGCGGTTGAGTGCTGGGTTGCGAAGCTACCCGCAGCCTCTGCAGCAACGGTTCGATCCCCGGCTGCTCCCCGGCCACCGGAGGAGGGTCCCACATGGCACGCAGACCTCTCCTGCCGCCCGCTGCTCCCCTCAGCAGTGTACTTCGGTCCTTCTGCCTGCTCTGCTCCCCGCTCTGGCTCTGGTGAATTCTCTCACCCTCCCTCACTTCTGACTGTACCCAGTGCTTGTATAAATAAATAAATTAATCTTTAAAAAAAAACAAAAAACAAGAATGGAGTCTGTGCCACACCAATCAGCTGTGTGCCCCTTAGCAAATTACCTGATCTCCCTGACCCTGAGACCTTTGTGAAGTGGGGGTGATGACAGTACCTACCAAATAAAGATGTTGTTTAGAGGAAACTAAAACCAGCATGCAGTGTGCTTTGCACAATGCCCACACTCAGGTAGGGGGCTGAGAAACAAGAAGGCAATGCTGCAGTCTGCCAACCCTGCCTACTCCCCATCACCTACAGAGACCTGGTAGTGTGTGTTCTCCTTCTGGAGACATCTGTAGACGCTAGGTCTGTGCCTTGTACTTTGCTCCCTCCTGAGATGGGGAATATCCCAGGCTTCCATGCTAGGACATATGTTAGGACCTGCAGATCAGCACAGTTGTAGAGGATACTATATGCCCGATGGTCCACTGGGTACCAAAACCCAACAGGTACAGAGAAAAGAAAGAAAAGACACAATCAGAGGCTCCCTAATCCCTCCCCACCTTGGGGCCTCCCTGGTGGCACAGGCGTTGAGCGCAGCATTGTGAAGCTGTCCACAGCCTCAGCAGTGCCGGTTCGGTCCCCGCCAGCCACATGGCGAGCAGACCTCTCCTGTCTCACCCGCTGCTCCCCTCAGCAGTGTATTTCGTCAGTCTGCCTGTTCTGTTCCACACTGTCTCTGGTGAATCCTCTCACCCTCCCGCACATCTGGCCTATACCCCAATTCTTGTATAAATAAAATAAATCTTTAAAAAAAAATCCCTCCCCACCTTTTGTGATAGCTCATAGGGTACCAATGTCAATTCTCCTATTACTGAACACCCAAGTGTTCCTTACTTGCAATGGCTAAGGAGTTGACAAGCAGATAGAAACTTATGATGGATTGAGACCTACCCCTAAACACATGAGAAATGTAATGTAAAGATCAAGACAAAATGCTTTACAAAAGACAAAATCTGGCTTGATTAATTTCTTAAAAAGAGTAAACAAGAAAGGAAAGCCTGCATCAAGAATATATTTTGGGGCCTCCCGGGTGGCGCAGCGGGTTGAGTGCAGCACTGTGAAGCTGTCTGCAACCCCTGCAGTGCCGGTTCGATTCCTGGCCGGCCAGGGAGATTCCCACATGGCAAGGCAGATCTTTCCTGTCTCTTACCCTCCCGCACCTCTGGCTTGTACCCCAGTGCTGCTTTTATAAATAAACCTTTTAAAAAAAAATGAAATAACCATTTCATTAAAAATATATATATATATTATTTTTATTTTTATATGCTTTGGACAAAAAGGCACATAAAAGTGGAATAATCATGTGATCATCCCTTAAAACAGTGAAATAAAATAAAGGAAGCAAGCCTGTCATCTTAAATACTGGAGCCAACAGATGTGAAATAGTCTCAGTTATGCCATCCCCAGATGTATGACCCTGGAGAAACTACTTCATGTCTCTGAGCCAGAAATTAGTTCCATTGCCACTCAGTAACACAGCTGGAATTTGGGTCCTGGAAGCATTGAAATAAAAACACGGGTTCAGAGGGCTTCTCCCTCTATCACCTGAATTTTATGAGCTCTCCCAGGGATCATCTAAAAGAGGAGGAGCATCATGAGCTCTCTCCCAGTCTGTAGGTGACACCAAGTTCTTGAAACACTGAAACATCAGGGGATCAACTGCAAAGGCCTCCGATGTAGTGGGAGAAAGGTGGCAGCTGTCCTTCAAAGAAGGCAATGCAGGGGAATGAGCCAAGGGAAAAACCATCCAGATTAAACTCAAACCTGATTACCTTTGTGCCATCAGGTACAAGCTAAAGAAAAAGCTGCATGTCATAAGGCCTACATCATGTCTGAATAAGCTAACCCAGCGAAGACCATCATCACAGTGAAATCTGGAAACCAACCGAAGCCCCCAACCTGTCCTCCACAGAATCATCCTAAAGCTTCAAAAACCGAAGAGATGCAAAAACAGTAAGAAGACTTTCAGGAAAAGACAACATTAGGCCACAAGGACAGGGCTTTTTAGTCTAGACCTGCAGAAGTGGTGGTAGGATCCAAGGCACAAAGAACTTAACCTTTTCACCAAATGCCAAACCTGAATCCTTAGAGAGGCAGAAAATACCTCATAGGGCATCAATATATGGGGCAGTAAACATCACAGCCAGGGAGTTGAATGGGAGAATGGTTCAAAAGATCTTAGAAATAATAGACTGTGCTGATACTAAGAGCTGTTTGGGGTCCTGTGACCATTTTCTGGTAAAAGCCAGGCAATGCAGGTCTGCACACCACAGCCTTTACCCTCATTACTGGAGACAGGACTCCCTGGGACAGGCCCCTCTCTCCATTCCTCTGCTTATCTGTTTGGGAGGATGTTGACAGACAAAGCAACCATATCTCATTTATCTTGACCATATCTTATCTCAGGGTAGACTTATAATGGCTACAAAAGTCAGTTTTCAACTGTTTTGCTGGCAATGGAACTGATTTCTGTTTACCTAAAATGCCACAGACTCTTTTTTTTCAATAATTTCTCAATGATCATAAAACACAAAAATATCTTTTTAAATCTAGACATATTAAAAGTTCCTTTTTCTCCATCAATCAAGATGCCCAAAGAAACCTTCCTGTTTCCCACTGGCACCTTAGAAGTGGACGACTAATTGTGATGCCTAGCACCCTTATCTTTTCTCAATACACAGTGCCCTTCCTCCCGCTGAATCCTAAAATAGCAGCAGTCCAGATTAGCATTGGCTTGAGGAGTAGGTGCTCGGCTGAATAACATCAGAATTAATGAGGGGCCGGAGAGCAAACAGAGCCACCTGGTGGGTAGGCAGGAATGGGGCTTCAATCGCCTGCCCTCGACCATCTCAGTTCCGGCCCCCATCACATTCAGCGCCCGGCCGGGTCGCTCAAAAAGAACAGGCATGGCGCGCGGCGCTCTCACCTTTCAGCAGGTCCGGGTGCACGTAGCCTAGCACGTCGGAGACCCCCAGCTCCTGGCGGGAACAGGTGCCACCGTGGATGTGCAGCCAGGCAGGCTCTGCCAGCGCAGTGCAAAGCGCCGTGATGGACAGGGCGCCCGGCAGGGCCGAGGCCAGACTACGCTCCGGCTGCTTGGGCAGAGCGCTGCCTCCCGGGCTCCTCCGCCGGCGCCCTCCGGGCAGCCCTGCGCCTCCGGGGGCGTACATGCCCGGGGCCGCCCGCCGTCGCTCCGCGGTCGCTGCTGGTTGCCGCCGACCTCCGAGGGGCGCGCAGACCCTGCCTGTGCCGGGAAGAGAGCAAGTCGCTGGGGTCTCCGCAGGTGAAGCCGACTCCGGGGCCGGCACCCGAGGACAGGGGGCGGGACCTGCGGCGGAGGGGAAACGGGAGGGCTGCGGGAATTTGGGGGGCGGGGACCGGGTTCCTAGAACAGGGCTGCGGAGGTGCAGAATGAAGAACCGGAAAGGACTGGGGGACGGTTGGGGTCTCGAGGGGCCGAGTTGTAGGCTGGGGGGCACGGAGACATCCGCTGCCGGTGAGCGAGAGACCCGGGGCTGCGGCCAGAGGGTGCTGAGGGGCGGAGAGCCCGGCTGGGCCGCGGGCATCAGGGACTGGGGATCTAGGAACCGCGCTCTGGGGGTGCGACCTGAGCGCAGAAAGGAACCTCCCTAGGCTGCCCCTTTTCCTCACCAGTCAGCAAGCCCCAGGGCCGGGATGGTGCCGCTCCGTCCAGTCACGGGCTCCTCAGCAGCCCCGGGCCGAGAGATCTCAGGCCCCAACCCCGCAACGCCCGGACCGACCCGGGCCCGATGCACTTCCGGCTTCCTCCTCCTCTGCCACCGCCTCCTCCGGCTCCCCTCCCCGTCCCCCGCGCGCGTCACAGCCCGGGCGCGCCGCCGGCTCCCTGCGCAGGGCCTCACGGGACTGGTAGTCCCTGGCGTTCCCGCGATGCTTTCCTCTATGGGAGGGGCGGGGGTGTGCGAAGGCTACTACAACTCCCAGAGGGCAATGCGGCCGCGCAGCGGGCACTTCAGTTCCCAAGACGACCTGGGCCCTCGGGCGGAAGCGGCCTGACCTGGCGGCCAGTGGAGGGTGGCGGCGAGGTTGCGGGGACTTCTGCAGTGCGAACTGCAGTCGGCGCGACAGAATTTGCCCACTTCCTCTTCCTCCTGCGCCGGGCTGCCATGAAGGACTCGCTGGTGCTGCTGGGCCGCGTCCCGGCACACCCCGACTCCCGCTGCTGGTTCCTGGCCTGGAATCCTACTGGGACGCTGCTGGCCTCGTGCGGTGGCGACCGTAGAGTTCGCATCTGGGGCCTGGACGGTAAGGCCCAGCCTAACAGTGCGACCCCTGCTCCGAGCGTTCAGCGTGCAGATAGTGTGGGTTCGCAGCACAAGGGGCATGTCGACCTGGATCGAGGTTACAGGTCCAGGGAGAGGAGATAGAGGCCACTTGCATTTGGAAGAAAAATCAGAATGACTTGACTTGGACGTTGGTCGCTCTGAGAAGGACTTTGGGCAAAGGCGTGGGCGACTTCCAGAAGCACAAACGTCAGTGGACAAACTGGTACTGTTGAGGGAATTGTGATAGTTGCTGAGGCAGGAAAATGAGAGAGTAGCCTGGGAGAGTAGCCTGCAGAGTAATGCAACAGATCGGTGAAGTTTAAATTTTATCTGGAGGGCATTTGGGAGCCACGGATGGATTTACAACTCATCAGGAGGCTGCCTCAGAAGTAGAGTCAGCTACATCTTCCTAAAAGCTTGTTGTTAAATATATGGGTTGAACTTTGCTTCCCAGCTTGCTTCCAGTACTTGCTTCCAGTCCCATTATCAAATGACACTGATACTGCTTCAGCACCTTCTTGTGCATCCAACTCCAGAGCTTGACCTTTCCTCTGTTCTAGGTGACAGCTGGATCTGCAAATCTGTCCTTTCTGAAGGCCATCAACGCACTGTGCGGAAGGTGGCCTGGTCTCCCTGTGGGAATTACCTGGCGTCTGCGAGCTTTGATGCGACCACTTGCATTTGGAAGAAAAATCAGGATGACTTTGAGGTAGCCAGGTTGGGGAGGAAGAGGATTGTTGCCTGGTTGCATTGCAGGGCTGGTTCAGGAACTTGAGCCAGTTTAACTATACTCATGAAAAGGACCGCAAGGGTCTTGGCTACTGTTCTTTTCCCTTTTCAGTGTGTAACCACTCTGGAAGGCCATGAAAATGAAGTCAAGTCTGTGGCCTGGGCCCCATCCGGGAACCTCCTTGCCACCTGCAGTCGAGATAAGAGTGTATGGGTCTGGGAAGGTGAGTCCAGGTCCCTCTGGTTGCAGTTAGGAACAATTAGACAGACATCCCCATCTGTGTCCCTGACAGGGTCAACTCATGGGGCGTTTTTGGTTTTCCTTCCACAGTTGATGAAGAAGATGAGTATGAATGTGTCAGTGTCCTCAACTCCCATACACAGGATGTAAAGCATGTGGTTTGGCATCCAAACCAGGAGGTAAGAATGCAGTGTCTTGGTGAGAAGGGTTGTTATGCCCACCTTTCTTCTACTTCTCAGCATCAATCTGACTTAGCGAGATCTCTGTGACCAAGAGATGTTAATCATTTTACAAAAAACAGATTACTGGGACTGCTCTGTTCTAGCAGGGAGACATATTGGAACCATAGGTACTTCCTGTACCATACAGACAAGTATGTTTTCCCTGCCCCCAACCCCACTCCAGCTGTTAGCCTCTGCAAGCTATGATGACTCAGTGAAGCTCTACCGAGAGGAAGAAGATGACTGGGTATGCTGCGCCACTCTTGAGGGCCATGAATCCACTGTGTGGAGCTTGGCCTTTGACCCCAGCGGCCAGCGCCTGGCATCTTGCAGTGATGACCGTACTGTGCGCATCTGGCGCCAGTACCTACCAGGCAACGAACAAGGTAAGGTGCCAATGGGAGAACTAAATAAGACTCATCTCCTAGAGACTAAGACACATAGGTGAATGGCAGCAAATCAGGATAGAAAGTGAGATGTGCCATGAAAGGCCTCCAGATAAAGTCTGGAAGAATCAGGGAAAGCTTTGTGGAAGAGTAGCCATTTCATCCAAACTTGAAAGGCTGCATAGGATTTACATGAAAAGAGAATGGTGGATAAAATAGAATAGTATGAGCAAAAGCATTGAAGGTGGGAAAGCTAGATTTCCTCCAGAAAGAGTGATTCATTTAGATGGCGCATAGGGTACAAAGGGTTTTGGGAGAAATAGGCTAGCAGGTGGGTGGCCTTAAAAGGCAGGCAGGGTTTTTTTTAAAGAGTAGGACATTTCCTATTCCTAGTCTCAGAATTCTGTAAAAATAACCAGTCTGGCCATAATGTTTAAGATAGATCAGTAAGAATGGGGACAGAGGAATGAAGATAAGGACTCATGATTGAAGGGGGAGGTAAGGGAGGGCAAGTTAGGATTTCCTCTGCAGTGGGGATTTACCCCCCTGAGGTGCCCAGGACACACACCTCAGGCTTAAGAGAAGTCTGTCTGCAGGGGTGGCGTGCAGCGGCTCTGACCCCAGCTGGAAATGTATCTGCACATTGTCAGGCTTCCACTCCCGGACCATTTACGACGTCGCTTGGTAAGACTTCCATCTCCTCCATCTGGAGAGAATTTAGAGAAGTTGAGACCCTGTGCTGCTCTCTACCACGTTTGGGGAGAGCATGGGAAACCATCCTGTTCAGATCAGGCCAAACTGACTACCATGCTGGCTTATTGCTGACTGGCCTGGGGGTCCACAGGAGCAGGGAACAAATTTAGACCCAGGCCTGCACCTATGTTAAGATCACAGGCTGTGAGGGCAGCTACAGCCTCTAGGAGTCACAGCATTGTACCATCCAACAATATTGTTACTGAGATTGTGGGTTCATGACTTTTTTTCCCCACAGTTGGCCGCCCCCTTTATCCAGCATCTCTGGTGCTCTCTGACCCCACTGCCTTTGTGCCCCACCACCTGCCACCCCCGGCCCTCTGGCCCACCTGGTTAAACTTGTTCATCAGCTACTGGCAGCACCAACAGGGCACTGGCTTGTCAGCCTGGCCAGGGGGTAGCAAGTAGTGCTGCTGGGACCTGTGACACTGGCTGAGCTCTCCCCAACCAGCCCCACAGCTGCACCCCACTTTTTGTTTTTTTATGATTTGTCTCACTGACTCTACCCTTAGGAAGTCTAGAAAAGTAACACCATTCATATAGGAGAATTCATCAGAGGGCAGTCCTGACCCTGAGAATCTATCCCTAGCAAATAATCCTAAAAACTGAAAATCTTGATGTACATCAATGCTTTATTAATATTAACAAGCATTTGAGAATGACATTTGAAAATAGACTTAAGCATGGTAAAATCCAATGATCTATTATATTACTGTTAAAAAATGATTAAGACTACTCCCTGACAAGAGAAACTGCTTATGCTAAGAGAGGAAAGTACAGTTCAGAATTGCATGTAGTGTTTTTAAGCTGATTATATCAAAGGAAAGCTAGACAGCTGCACTTGAAGACTTAGGGGGGTGATGTTTGTGGTTAGGTGTTAGTTGGGGAAGTTCTTCCATAAGAAACTTGTGCCGAGACCTAAGTTTGGGAAGAGAACAGGCCAGAGACATAGAACTAATTGCTTTTACCTGATTTGCAGGGCTGGGGAGGGAGGAGCCACCTGCTTATATGCTGACACTTATGTTCCTTCCAGGTGTCAGCTGACAGGGGCTCTGGCTACAGCTTGTGGGGACGATGCCATCCGGGTGTTTGAGGAGGATTCCGGCTCAGATCCACAGCAGCCTACTTTCTCCCTGACAGCCCACTTGCCTCAGGCCCATTCCCAGGATGTCAACTGTGTGGCTTGGAACCCCAAGCAGCGAGGGCTCCTGGCCTCCTGCAGTGATGATGGGGAGGTGGCCTTCTGGAAATATCAGCGGCCTGAAGGCCTCTGAACCACAATGACTTTGGACAGAATCATGGTTCCCTAGAAAATGTCATTAAGACTTTCAGCCCCGAGAAGACCTGGAAGGCACATCCTTGACCTTCATCTAACCGGGCTGTCTTCCACTCGGGCTTGGTAGACGTGCAGAGCCGCAGACCCAGTTCCCCCACTTTGACATGGAGCCCTGTGGTGAAGAACTGCAGACCATCAGCACGTTGTCGTTATGCCAGATTTTGCTTGCTTTAACTTGTGTTACATTTTGAGGGTTGTATGTACTATTTATAATCACCTTATTGGGGCCTCCCTGGTGGCCTAGGGGTTAAGTCTCAGTCCTTCCACCACGACGGCCCAACACCATGGCCTGAGTTTGATCCCTAGCCAGGGAACTAACATACATGGCGCAGCAGACCTCTCCTGTTTCACCCGCTGCTCCCCTCAGCAGTGTATTTCAGTAGATCCACCTGTTCTGTTCCCCACTCAGTCCCTGGTGAATCTTCTCACCCTTTACCTCTGGCCTACACCCCAGTTCTTCTATGCAAAAATAAATAAAATCTTTAAATATTTATATCACTTTATCTATATGTAGGAGGGGTGTATCTAAGACCTTTCTGAAATCTTAAAGCTTTATAGAAGTATTCCATCTGAGTCCCAAGTCCTATTTTATAAGGATGTTCACAATTTAAAAGAATTCCATCGTGAGTCCTTTTCTGAAATAGGTCCCGCCTATTTCCTGATTGCTGGGCAAATCTTTGCATTTAAGACATTCAGTCAACACTGAAGTAAACTTTCAATGTAGGTTGGTTTAGAGTAAGACATGCTTCTGCTTTCCCTTAGAAGCTCTTCCGTACCTTGTGTCACATGCTGTGATGGCAATTAGGAAAATGCCAAAAAAAGTAAATAGGGGAGGATGTGAACCCTAAAATGGAGTTATTTCTGGCTACAACCCAATATATTCTCAGTGGGATGAAAATTAGGTCCTTAGGGTAAGGAGTGGAAATCTTGGAGACAGTAACTTGTGGCCTGCTGAAAGACCACAGTATGTAAATACACACAGTGTTATCTATGGTATTAAGTATTCATGGGAAAAAGATGTCTATTAACTTCCTTAGGGAAGTGGGATGAAAAAAAGGTAGAGAAACACTGCCACAGGCAATCACTTCTTCATTCCCATTACACTCATTTGTCCTCTGACAGTCACTTCCAAGTGGATTCTGGCTTGAGGACTGTTCCCTAAATTACAGCCTTCACTTAAATTTTTTACACCACAAAAATCACAACCTTAAGGATTTCGAAAACACAGTTGGGGCAGTACCTGGAGCAGTGATTTTTAGAATGTGATCAGCTTATCACCTGAAAGTTCCCAGAGCCTTGGAGGAGTAAATGGAGAGTGGGTCTGAGGTCAACAGGTGGTTTCTTGGTTGGTATCAAGGTAGTGGCACAAATACTAGTAGTGATTGTCTTCACTGCCTTGCTTTCACAGTAAAAAGCTTTGCCAACTTCACTTAGAAATATCCTTGATATAACCTATGCAATGGGAAGCATGGATAAAGCACTTCTGCACATTGAAGCATGGCTGTCTTGAGAAAAAGCAGTTGAGCTGCAAGCTCAATTAGCTGTGTGCTTCATGGCATCCCGTTTTTACTTTAGCAAATTATGGTATTTACAACTTGGCTATTTGGCTGACATTTTCTGGAAAAGGACTAGATGAGCCTTTTCCTTCAAGGGAAGCTGATGGTGTTGCCAATGATAAAATGAACGCTTTCAAGCATAAATGAGAATTTTTGGAACTTGTACTGCCACTATGAGCTTGATATTGTCCCAGTATTTTAGACTTTCTGAGATTGATGGTGATACTAACATGGTGATCTGTATGATGAAATGTATTAAAATTTGGTAGATCTGTATTTTTCAGTGAACATTTCTAAATAACTAATGCATGTTGTTACAAAGTCATTTGTAAGTAAGATAGAGCAGTGGGTTTGAATACAAAAAACTCATTGATAAGGTTTCTGATTGCCTTTAAGAAACCACTACTTGTCAAGTTTTGCAGGGGTATCAAATGGTCAGTTACCGGAAGACTATTTAAAAACCTTTTCTCCCAACTTTCTCTCTCTGAAGTCAGATTTACTTCATTTTACTTCAACTAAAACTGTACAACAGATTGTAGAAGCAGCTGTAAGAACCCAACTGTCTTCTATTAAAACAGACATTAGAGTTTTGCAAAAATGTTGGATGACAGTTTTCTCCCTAGGTTTGTCTTGAAATTTATTTTTCATAAAAAGTTAACATAATTTACTGTTATTTTTAAACACATTATAATTCTGAAATAGTATCAATGTATATAACCTAGACAATAAAAGCTCTTTGAGGTTCATTTTTTTGGGTAGGAACTTAATATTGAATCATTTCAAAACTGCTGACCTAGAGAAATAACCCCTCAGAATCATCTTCCAGTTTTATCCACATATATTCCTAAAAAACAACAAAAAGCAAGACTTTGAAGAAGGAAGTTTATAGATCTGAATCACAAAACCAGTTAACCAAGACTGGGTGCCACCCACTTGGCATTCTTTAAATCCCGCTTCTGTGCTCCTTGTGGGAGAGAACACTGTATTTTAAGAAACTTCCCCACCCCCATCTACTGAAGTTCAGTGTTAGTTCCTACAGTGGTGCTGCCATCAGGGTAACATACAGAGGCAGTGACCAAAGGATGACCAAGTGAGGCTCCCTAACACTGTTCCCTTCTCTTCATTGAGTAAAATGACCATAGGTGACAACCCAATTAAAGAGCAGGATTGTCCTCAAAAATATTCATTATAATGGCTTCAATGGCTAAAATCCCCATCTTTTTGGCCAAAGGCCTTAGGCTAGAGGAAACTTAAATTTGGAATCACTGCCAAGACAAATGGTTTCTCCAAGTTTTTTTATTATAATGTCTGATTCAAGAGGAACTATAAAGAACATGCATAAAAATTCTGTACAGTTTATGCTTGACAACAAGAAGACACTTGCAGATACTAAATCCAAAGTTTACGTGGCAAGATAGCAACAGGGAAAAGCAATGGAGACGGCTGGAACAGCACTTGCACTGACTAGCCAGACTTCATGCAACAGACCTGGTCTCCACAACCGAAATCCCATACACCTATACATGGCCCTAATTCAGATTCAACTCTTCTCTATGCAAGAGTAACACCTCTAGACTCAATCTGAATCACTGTCTGTCTCAGCTTCTTTCACATCCACGCTGAATTTGTATTCCTGGTCACATCCCATGTAAGCATCACTCATGAAGTACAGGGTATAGTTGTGGGCCCCAGTGGCCGGAGCTACGAAGTCAAGTTTCACCTAGAGAGAGCAGGCAGAAATCAGGGTGAGCATGGACACAGAACCAGTGTCACTCTGGCCATCTCAGAACAAATCCGGGGACCAATGAACACTCACCTTGGCCTTCTGTTGTAGGGTCAGCCTCTTGATGGAGATGAGGCTGTTGGACTTGGCATCTCCGATCACCACCCACCAGCCCTCTTCACGTTTCTGCAGTGACCAAAGCCAAGAATTTCAGCATATAAACTTGATAGTCATATTAGAGCATGAGAATGGTGTTACAAAAGCAGGAAAACAAAAACCAGATAGAAAAGTTTCTAAAACTTCTTCCTGAAATAACAATTTGACATAACTAAGATTTTGGAATTGTCAAAAGATACCTCAAATGAACTAAATTTTTAAGTAGGTAAATGAACTCAGTTGTCTCAAAGTACCCTTTCCTTCTAGCACTTTCCACTCAATCCAAGATTCCACTCAAAGATCTAGTCAAAGACAAATGCATAGTAGTCACAGAGGGCACAATTCTGTACAAATGTTTTTAACAATGACCAATCATCCAAATTGTTTCAAAGGAGAAACAAAAGTAACACCAATGGTCTTAAGATTAATTCTCAGTCTCATTAACTGTTACTACTTTAAATTTCCCTTCCCCAGTGACAATGTACTCTAGTCCATGGAGAGGCTGAAGTAGACACCTGGTAAATCCAGCAAGTAGGACATACCTGGGGGAAAAGAGGTGCAATCACAGGGCCTGTGACTTCCTCTTCTCGCTCCAGCTGCACCAGTACCACAACTGGCCCACCACTGTGGGGGAGAAAAGTGAGACAGCAATCAGCTACACGCAGTGGGGTTATGGAGCACACAGTCATGCTGTGCCCAACAGGGACCCCAGGGCAGGGACCAAGGCCCCTGACTCACCTGCGGATGCTGTCCTTATCCACGACTTCGTAAGACAGCTCAATATTGGGGTAGCGGTTACAGAAGCGGGCCACATCTGCGATCTGGCTATCAGACAGCTGAAGCAACGCATTTCTTTCTTCATCCTCCATCTCCATAATGTCAAACACACTCTCCACTCCCTGCCGTGGGTATTCAGAAGTCAGGGAAGAATACATACTAACAGCAAATAAAACTGGCTCCAATCTGGTACAAATTTTACTTTCTACACTATCAGATAATCTAAAGAAAATAATTTCAGAAATAGTCCACAACTGTCAGGCTTTCAAGCACCTTAAGCAAGCATCTCTGCTTCCTTCAGAAGAACTGCAACCAAAAGTCTCCCCTACTGTGACTCACCTCCTACCACCCAACCCATGCCAATATACACAGCTCTCACCCCTGCTACCCAAATTCCAAGTCCAGAACCACCTCACCTTGTCTGTGCAACGTTTGATATGCTCTGATGTGAAATGTGGCAGCTGTTTCAGGTATGAATCCTTGGACCACATGGCTTGGGTGACCATTTGGGCCAGTTCCATGGCTGCCAGGGCAGGGCTCAACCACCCATTGCTGGAAAGGACATCCACACAGGCCTGGATGAGCCGGATTGCCTGAATAGATAGGAGTACAAGAGCAGGCAGGGTTGGAACAACTACTACACAGGTCAGTGGGCCCCCTCCATATCATCCCTGCACCCACACCATACCTTGCTAAGGATTTCCTCTGTATCTGACTGCAGCTCTGCACTCAGCTGCATGCGCGACAGGTGAGCCTGCAGAAGCAGGTTGGTCTTGACATGCGGGTCATTGAATTTAGGATTATTCAGCTTGTGGGGCACCTTCTGCGCCAACTGGAAGGTGGAAGAAAAATAGCTGGTGACAAACAGGTAACAGTGCCTGAGACCAGCTCTCAGACCAAAAGCACCACCTGACCCAGGCTCAC